TTTTCTGGGGAATTTCATCTCTCCATCCTGCCCAGCCGTTGCCTGGCATGCTGGTTTAGCAGCAGCATCATGACTGCGGAGAGGAGAGCGCTAGGAGGGTGGAGGGGGGCAACAAAAGAAGATGGCACAGTGGCGTGAAGGTTACGACTTTGAGTGTGCTTATTTGGTGCTGGCTGGGGACCTATAAACAAACAAAATAAAACAGACACAAAGGCTGAACAGCACCAGGTCTAGCGTTTCTATCACTAACTCAGACAGCTAGAAGTTACATTTGAGACTTCTGCACATACTTCATCATCTGAGTAGGGTTCAGCCGATATACTGGTTGGCTGATGATATTGGCTGACATTGCCAACCCGGGGTTTTACATGCTATAGGTGAAAATATTACAAGTTATGTACTAAAAGGCAGGCCTTTAATTTTTTACGGTGGATGCAAAAAGATTGTCAATTCTGCTTTTAATTCTGCTCTCGCCTGTAATTGCCGAGACTTCTGTTGTTGCATTTATTTGACGCTGTACATTTAATTTAGTTGTCACAAATTACCTCTTTGAATAAAGAGGAACGAAAGATGCCATAGTGTCCACCCCTAATCTATTCCAACAACAGCATGCCACTCGTGAACGAAAGATGAAGCGACCTATCCATGTTCTGCCTAACAAACAAGTTCTTTCATAGCACTTCTTGATAGGTTGGACAAGCTTTGTTGTTAAAAATTACTATTTAATGAGAAACTGTAGTGCACAAATCAACGTTTATTAAAGGGCACATATTATACAATTTTCTTTTATTTTATGTTTTTTCCTTTAAGATTCACTCATGACATTTCCATGGGTTTATCGTAATTCATTTTCACATGCGCCTTTTCCAATCCCTACCCATCCCTTAGCATTAAACAGGTTGTTTTAGTTTCCATGCTTTTAATACTGATATATGTAAATGAGCTCTGTTCTGAATGGCTGCCCTGTATTTGCCTCACTCAAAAAGCAGTCAAAGCTGAAAAACTTCTTATAACTTCAGTGAGAATGAACAGGGCTAAAGTAGACTGAATAGGTGTACATATGCAAATGTGTTGTTTTTTGTGACATCACAAAAACAATGAATTAAAAACAGGCTGTTTTTGCAGCTTAGTTTCTACATTCAAACTGGGGACTGAAAGCTACTTTTTGAAACTTTAACAATACTTACATTCTATATCAACTCTTTAATAAATAAAATGGAGGAAAATTTAGTTTTTGATGATTCACACATACACACAGACACACACACACATCATCTAAACCGCTTATCCTTCTGGGTCGCGGGGGGTGGTGGAGCCTATCCCAGCTGTCATTGGGCAGAATGCAGGACACACCCTGGACAGGTCGCCAGTCCATCACAGGGCAGACAGACAGACATACATTCACACACACATTCACACCTAGGAACAATTTAGCATGTCCGATTGGCCTGACTGCATGTCTTTGGACTGTGGGAGGAAACCAGAGTACCCAGAGGAAACCCATGCAGACACGAGGAGAACATGCAAGCTCCACACAGAAGGGACCCTGGTTGCCTAGCTGGGAATCGAACCCAGGCCCTTCTTGGTTTCTGATGATACAGAAATATGTACATTATTCAAACTGATCTACAGTGTTCGTTTAGAACTGCTGCAGAACGCAGAGTCTTCTGTTTAAACTATTCCCTCAATCTGACTTTTAACAAATACGCAAAATAAGTATCATTTGAAATTAATAACGCACTTTAAATGCAGGTATTTTGACCAAAAAAAATGGAATTTCCACTCCAATTTCTCATTAGATTAAATGGGGTTATTGCCAACATACAGTAAAGCTTGTCTACCCTCACAACAGCAGTTCCAAAAGAATGCCTTTGTGGGTGGGGTATGAATCGCTCAGCTACTAATTCAACTTTTATGATCACCAACAAGCAGAATGTATCTCCGTCCTCTATTTCAGCTGATGTACACAGAGCATTAGTGAGCTGAGCCAGAGATTTGTGTGGTAACACAGCCATGCTGCTCTCAGCAGTAACTGCACCACGCCACCATATCCTAACTGCAGAGGATGACTCACAGCCACCACAGCATTAAATCTCCACACGCACACGCACAGTCCCCAGCGTGAGGAGGCCCACGTCACACCTCAGAGAGGTTCCAGGGTTTCTCCTCACACAGAGGGAAGAGACAGCATGCCCTCTCACTGCTACAGCCAGCCTTCACATCCTCTCTCCAAAACAGCAAAGAGGTGGTAATAATGTGTTACAAAAACTGCAGATGCAAGCAGACAGCCCAAACCTCTTGGTACACCACAAAACACACACACGGATAAATACAGAAAAAGCTGAGCGGGAGATGCTAGGCTTGGTATTGGCTGGGATTCGGTAATAGATCTCAGCCTGGTGATAAATGTTTGGAATGAGTGTGAACGCACACAGAAGCAGGCTCCACCTGTTGGAAAATGGAGCTCACTTTAGAGTGGAGAGTGGGGGGTTGTTTGGGGGGTGAGGGGGGTCGAAAGAGAAAAGATTTTGGGTGTGAATAATCTGGGGGAGACGATGCAGCTGAGGGAGTGCGAGGAGGCCGTGGCATGGACACCTCACTAGCCTCACTATGCTTACCTATGCTGTAAAAACATGATCTGATGTTTAAACTTTACCAGGCTGATGGACTTTAAATAATAAGTTAAAACAAATTATTGTTCTGTTATGAGAGATTCAATGGACGCCAAACTGTAAGGCAGCCAGATTATGTAACTTTTTAACCTCTTAAATAAATTATTACATTTTAAAGCTCATAATTTAGTATATACTTGAAAAACAATGCAAACTAAAAACTCTGACCAAAAGTATCAAAACCGCTTATCCTTCTGGGTCACGGGGGGAGCTGGAGCCTATCCCAGCAGTCATTGGGTGGAAGGCAGGAAATACCCTGGACAGGTCACCAGTCCATCGCAGAGCAGAATGGATTACTCAAATGACTGAAATAACCTGTCAGATGAGGAAAGCAATAAGCTAAAAGCTAAAGTTAGTAGGGATGCTACCTGGTTATCTAGGTTGGTACGTGAGTTTGGCTTCTTTTCTCTAGTTGAAGGTGAAAACCTGTCCCTGGTGTCTATTTTGTCATATAAATATAGAATCACTGTTTCATTATACACACTCACAGTCACATATGTGGTGTATCCTGCCTTCCGCCCAATGACAGCTGGGATAGGCTCCAGCACCCCACCGCGACCCAGAAGGATAAGCGGTTTAGATGATGTATGTATGTATGTGTATGTTTCATTATAAATTTGTTTGATGGTCGAGGTAAGAGTTGCAGTACTGATAGCTTTACTAGTCTATAGATCAGTGGCTAGCCTAGTAGTCAGGATTGGTTGATACTATAGGGCTTTGTAATGGTTATATGATGCTTTTGCATAATACATGTGTGGTATTTTAGTGAGAGAACACTGATGTACGAAAACATGAACATAGCATAAAATCATAAATTCCGGCAAACCAACGAGGCTAGAGGATATAATACTGCTCTAAAGATGTTTTAGGCCAGTTGTAGGACCATAGTGAGTTCACTGGTGGTTCTTGTTCATTAAAAAATTTTTTTTTCTTCTCCTTTTTTTTTTACAGTGTACAATAGTGGCTCTCGAGGTGGTTCTCCAACCTGCCTCTAACCTGCTTCCCTGCATTGCCTCCCTTACCTAACACTAATGTAAGTGATCCTACCAATCAAGGACTGGTCGAGGGTTTGGTGGTATAATGGTAATCAGGTATACTGCAGTATTTAAAAATGATGCTGGTATTTAAAAATGATGATGGTAGTTCAAAATTATGACAAGTCAAATTTTTATTCTACATGTGAACGGCCAAATAAACATATTCCACCAATTCGTAATTTTAGAGGGCTCATCGATTGGTGGTGTGAGAGCTCACTGACTAGAAACATGGGGAAAATCAGAACCAGGAAAAACCTCAAAAACTACGCATGACTAGTCACATGACTTACCCCCTGTATACCGTGGTAATATTTGGAGACGGTTTAAAGATATGAAACAAGTTGATACTGCCCAACCCTAGACTGGACTCGACAGGATGGTAGATCTCCTGAACTAGAGTTGCTAACAGCTTGCCTTTTATAAAAAAAATCTGAAAAATGATTTCCACAGTTACTCTTCAATTAAATGATTTTAAAAAAATAATAATTTGAGTGTATTTTGCGATGTCAAAGTGTCTTTTTTTGTCTGAAGAATAAATTTTACCTAAATAATCATTTGAACGATTGTTAAAAGCACATACTGAAACTCTTTTGGCCCAAAGGAGGTTTAAACAAATGAAAGGTTTGAGCGCTGATAAGTGCTGACATCACAATAAGGGGATAAGATGCATGGGCTTTGGTGTTATTATCATAGTAGATTATTTGTCAATTAAACCTTCAGTTTTGCCGTCGTTTACAAAGAGAAATTGAAATATCTCTACAGATTTCTATTTAATATGTTAAATTATTGCAAAATGACAAAGAAAACATGTTCACTTACTAACCGCTTAAACCTTAAGGGCCCGTAGGGGACCAATATTTCAAAATCTTACATTCATCATCACTACATAATTTATATTAGTTTCATTTTAGCTACCAAATAATTTATGCTGAATAATAAGACTTATGATTTATACCTGAATAATAAACCTAGAGTTCAAGGCATTTAAAAAAAAATGGGAAAGTGTCCCCAACCTTTCACTGGGCAGTGCACACACACATACATAATGTTTGCAAAACTAACTGCACCAGTAGCAGAGTGCTGAAACTTCAGTGGGGTGTTTGATCTGAGCTTGGGTTTAACATCAACATCCATTGATGAACTCCAGAATAGGGAAGCGAGGAAGAATGGCGTTCTGCACGCCAAACACGAGAGACGAAAGAGAGGAAACACTGAAGAGAAGATCAGAGAGCACATCACTCACTGAATGATGCATCAACACAGAGGCATGGCTTCAGCCGCTCGCTCTTACCGAAAGGCCTCCAGCACCGTTCTGTCCGGCAGGCGGGGAGCCACACGCGCAAAGACGCTTTTGAAGTCCTCCAACTTCAGGAACCCACGACCTGGAGAAAGAGCGCAAACTTAGGCTTAACAATCAGACCCAGAATCATCAAAAACACATCAAAAGACATTTACTGTAGGTCTTGGCAGAATTTACAGCAGCACAATGGAATAAAGCACACTGAGGGGAAAGGGATGAGCAGCCTCTTGCAGCATGTTCTGAAGAATATCTGTAATTGTATCTGTAGTGTCTTATAATCCCCTTCTGTCTTTAACCATTGGAAGTCTAGAAGTCTAAAGTTAGAAGTCTATTCAAATTCAAATTCAAGTCATAAAAAATATTTTCTCTTTTACTTACAAACACAAAAGCGGTATTGCTTGAAAGTTTAGAATATAGGCTTTTGACAGAATGTCTCCATTCGTTTGCAATGAGTTGAGAGGAAAAATTAATAAAGTAAAATTTCGATTTTTTTTTGCAGGCTGATTACATCAGCCGATATTGACGACCCATTGCTGATAGTGTGCTAATTGATTTATAAGAGACAACTAACAAAAATCAAAACTGTAAATGTTAATGTTTTTATTATAATACGGAGCCCTGCTGGTGACATCCCATATAAATAAGAATAATGCATGGCCACTCTTTATTAACACGTGGGAATGAGATCCTAATGCGTGGCCACGACTTAGTAAGGTGTGGGAATGAGATAATTAAGTCATGGCCACTGCTTTGTAAGGCATGGGTACTTAGTAAGGCATGTCTTACTAAGCCGTCACAACTTAATTATCTTGTTCCCATGCTTTACTCAGTCCTGGCCACGCGTTATTTTTATTTATACAGGATGTTACCAGTGGGGATCTGTATTATAAATATTTATGGTGTTTATATTATATATGAATTTGAGAGTCGACAATCTGTCGAATATCTGTCAGTGAAGCACTGTTTATCTAAAGGAGTACAAAATTAAACAAAAATATAAATATAAAATAAATCTAATATTATATCTGTCAATTTAGTCAGTTATTCGAACTTCTATCTCATTAAAATTGGTATTGGACATAACATTTTTATATTGGTAGGGCTTCAATAAAATGACAGCACATGTTTGTTTATCGCCAGCGGTAACTGAAACTTCTAAGAGTTAAAAATGAACTGGTTTTCCCAGTTTCCTCTTCTCACTGTAGGGCTGGTAAGTGTTTGTTGTTGGCTGAGAGACGAGTCTGCTTAAGTCTCAGTGAGTCTCGCGGAGCTGCTTCCTGAGAGTTTTCCGCGTGTCATTCTCAATGGCTGGCACTGAGGACTTTGATTCGCGGGAAATAGCTCCCCTGAGGAGCTTTAGAGCGCTAGCAGCCAAAGTCAGGGCTGAGAGCGGAATATGTTTAGCGCATCTGCTGAAGCAATGAGGGTTGCGGTGTGGCTCTGAGCTCTGGGATCAGACAGGTGCTGTGGAACACACCGCCTGGCACTTGTAAGCATTCCAGCCTGAAAACAACAAGCTACTGACCACTAACTACACCACACTTCCAAAGCCTGCTCTGAAAGCACCAATAATCACCACAACAACATGAAGCTAATAAGCAAAGGAGAAAACAAACACCTGCACAAGGGAAAGCCTATATTATTATTGTTTTAGTACAGGGTTTGTCAATCAACTACATTTTATGCTATAAAAAATCTGAAGATACCATAAAACCCATAAAGAAGTGTCTAAATAATGTGTTTAGCCACTATAAACTGCCAGAAGAGCTTCAATGGCACAGATTCTCCAAGTCTCTGGAACTGTACTGGCGGGACAGAACACCATTCTTCTGAGTTGGTATCAGGGACGCAGGAAGGTGTTTTAAGTTAGGGGTGCTGAGATTTTAAGCAGTATACATGTGATGTGAACAGCGACATCATGTAAAATGATTTGCCTTTTTTTATCTGAATTTTTTTATAATTTACATCAAACAGAACGTGTGATAATGTGGCGAGACAACAATATACCCACACATTAAACAGCTGATACACACCCTGATATCTTTACTCTCGCTCCTTCCAGACGAACTTTATGGAAATGAGTTGAGTGACGTCCAATCAGATTATTTTAGTTAATGTGAGGCACACTAACCAACTGCGTCATAGCCACACACTCAAGCGCACTCTGAGCGGGAGATATAACGGTTGATAAAAAAGAATGCAGGAAGGGCAGGACATCATTAATTTTTTTAGGTAAAAAAAACAAAAATAGGCAGATTTGGCTCAGACATGGCCTACAGCTCTGCACACACTTTCCCTCTTTGCACCTTGACCTGCGTGTGATTTAGTGATGCTACCCCAAATCAGTGAGCGAGGAAAGCGGTTCACCTTGCTTTAATGAAAATACACTGTTAACGTAAATAGTGCAGTTTCTGCAAGTTTTTACAATATATGAATAAAACATAAAAATATAAACTCCACTTAAAAAACAAGCAGATACAGGTCTTTACTGCATTTAAATTCCTTTCGAGTTCTGATGTGTTTTTATTATTTTCAGCAGTTAGCAGTTAAGCGACCCTGAAATCCCTGGTTGGTGTTGATGATGGAAGTGGAGAGCACAAAGACTACATTCACACTATAATCTTCACCGCCCAATTTAGTTTTTTTGCTTCATCCTATCTTTCTAACTTGATGGCTCACATTCATGTAGGGATGTGATCCTTGTGATAGGTGTAGGTTCAGATCTGGTGCTTGTCAAGGCCATATACTATACAAGTTCCACAATTCTGATACTCATCAAACTATTCAGTGAGTCTTTATGCCGTGGGGGCACTGTCATCCTAGAAGAGAACACTCCCACTGAGATAGAAAAGTTTCATCAAATAACTTTAATGATTTGCGGTGACCCCTTCCCTCTAAGGGGACAAGTGGCCCCAAACCATGCAAGCAAAATGGTCTCCCTCACTGTAGGGGCCAAGCATTCAGGCCTGTACCATTCTCTTAGTGTATGTCGCACATGCACTCTCCTATTTGTGTGGAATATGGAGATGGCTCATCTGACCACATCTTTTTCCCACGTCTCTTGTAAACCAGTGCCTGTAGTTTTTATACCACTGAATTCTCAAATGTGTGTTCATTTCTGTAACGAGGGGTTTAGGCATTGCAACTGTACTATAATATCCCGCTGGATGTAGCTGCGGACATACTGATTATGCTGACACAGTCTCATCACATCCTGCATTGACATTCTCAGTCACCTGAGGAACAGTCGCTCTTCTGCAAAAGCACTATGGTCATGGAATGTGCTTTCAAGCACAATTTCCAACTGTATTAATTAATTAATTTCCCATAGATTTAAAGGCTTAGTTGAACAGTCTTTGGGACTGAAGCTCCTGCCATCAATGCCAAAATAATGAACCCTCGTTTAGCACCACTTAGATTTTTTTTTCCTTTTGCCATCTTGATCCAAAATGAAGGTCAACCGGGCTTGCATTTGTCTACATACCACAGATCAAGGCAGCATGTTAATTGCTCAATCTTATCATGCAGTACACCTGTATGGAAGCATCTGCACTTGTGTTTCGCCACTCATTTACTTTCAGATTCATTTTTCCTCTTTAATTTGTATGTGAAACTCAAACTTCGTCTATCGTTCTGTTAAAAATCTGTGACATCCCTAAAAGAGACCACCACACAAATAAGAGAAAAAAAAAACTCCCTGCCTTGCACCCTGAAACCATTTCCACAGTTCAATGTATATGTCTTCTATGAAAAGTATTAACTAAGCTTTTGCCTGGTGCTGAGGTCTTGTTTTGGCAAATTACTTCCATATTAACATATCCATACTTCCATATTAAAAATACGTATAGATCATATTGTGGTGCCAAAACCACAAATAAACTGTTTAGTAAACTTTGTGTTACTGTTACACCTGTAACCTGCACAATCTATAATTTAAAAAATAAATATAGTGGGTGTCAGCTAAAAGGTGTAGTAACACATTTATTGCACCCATGATATAAGTGTAGGTAAATTTGCTCTATGGGAAAAGCGTGGTCAAAAATGACGCCAGGATCGAGAAGTGAAGTCAATATGGTGTGTGGCCTGCTTTGATGGGAAGGCTGGGCCTGCACTGGAAAATGACAGGGTCTCTGGCAGTGCTGAGCCTACTCCATCACCGGGCACACTGCCACATCAGCTCAGGATGGAAGCAGCACACTTAAGCGTGCTTTTCCCCTCAATTTGTTCCCATTGAAGATGAGGATGGGGTGACAGCACTGACGAAACCTTCAAACACCTCGTCCTGCACTGGCTGGTGAGCAGCAGACAGCAGAGGGCTCGTCGGCATTGGCATGCTGTCAGAGTCATCACACAGAAAAAGCCCAGACATCAGTTTTAAGTTAAGTTGGCAGAGGAACAAAGGCAATCTATCCGGGTTCTGCCGGAATTATTGAGACACTTTTCAACGACTTTTAGCCTGAAAAGCCTGCCTCACAGTTGCTACTCAAGTGCTTTTTGGCTTTTTAATATGCATGGAGAAAAAATTAATAAAATAGTACTTGAGAAGATAAGAAATTGAAATATTTAGAGCATTTCAGTAATGTGGCAATGTACTGAAACCTAAAAGCCCAACCATGAACTGTCATGGTTCCCTGGCCAAGCTCCGCCCTCTCCTGTCTCACCACATCTCCACTCCAGCCTGCCTCCGCCCCGGTCCTGCCTTCCTAATTAGTACTGTCACCTGTGTTAATTCCCCTGTAAGAGTAGCCCTCATGCTTCCCCTCCCTTTAGCCCTGTCCCTAAACCCTTTGCTCCTCCTCTAAGACTGCATGTACTGACGACCTCATTGTGCAGATGTTGAGGGCTCTAGGTTTAAAAGCGTGCTTTTGGGACACTCATGTGACATGCAGGCTTCCTGTGTGTCGTATCTGGTGAGATGACGTTATCGCTTGTACTCATGCTAGTTTGCTTATCTGCAGTAGCACAATTCAGATTGCAAGCCTAAAGCAGCTCAATGGTCAATTAATAAAAGAGATAAAAACTCATGAGCAGTAAAAAAGTGACAATTTCAGGAACCAAACCCCTGTAGGGTCCAGTGACATCATTCCTAGAAATTTTTTTGTAGTGATTTTAACTTTGTACTCCAGGACTCAAATACAGGGTAGTTGATGTGGAATTATTTTGTTTACTAAGCTTCTTTCAACTATGCGAACACAAATCTGTTCCAAAAATTGTACTGTTTTGACTTAAAAACCTTCAGCTTTATACACTAAAACCTCAATGTGTATGAAATTTCGCCGACATCTTATTTTAAGACCCCGCATTTACTATAAACAGAGGACTATCAGTTTGTTCTACTGGCTGCAAAATGCACTTCTTGGACCCCTTGAATCGCTATTTCTGATGTAGTTTGTGGACACTCATAGCACAAACAACAGCCAAAATGAAGTGCTAGCTGGTTGTCTTGTCATTATAAACAATGACAGTTTTCACATATTAACCATAGTTGCACACTGTTTAAAAGCTCTTGAAGAAAATCCAAATGTGTGAAAATTAAACCAACTTCACCACTCACGAACCAGGGCTCTCTGTCGTTCTTGGCTAAATGACAGTTTAGTTCTGATTGGGTTAGCCATATAATGACTCTCCCGACAGTAGGGAAATTAAACCACATGAACAGCACATACATCATTTTTGCATATACGTTATAAAGAAATTAATTTTAACCTAAGAATCTTCTTCTCTGTCATGTTGGTTAGCTGCAAACAAACCCCTCCACTCTGACTGGTCTTCAAGGAATTTTGGGTAAAAGGCCGCTGGGTCTGCATCGGTCTGGCCGCACTGAGGGCGCACAGAGGGCGCTAGTGAGCACACTTTTGAATGCCAAAATGAGATACTCTACAGCCTCACAGTCCTCACAGGCATGCATAAATGAGGACTGCAGGGCAGTAACTGCACTCTTTGCAACAGGGCTTGTATCAGGTCTTGTGGTTGTGTTTGTTCAGGTCCCTTAACTTTTTTCCCTATATAGCAGCTTCAGATCTTGCATGATTATTTGCCCCTGGTTGGGTCTCTTTACATTTTTATGTGCTTTAATAAAAGTGATGCTCCCACCTACATCCTGCCTCTACAGCTCCACACAAACAGAAGACCTGACCAGGAAACTGTGACAGAAGCTAGTGAAGGAGGGTGCAGCTGACCTTGACATAGGCCCGAGTTTCTGGATGTTACTGTTAGTGTGTGCACTACTACTATTTCAAAACCTCTGTTCTTTCAGAACAGTTTTTGCTAACTGCTGATTAGGGCTCTAAGAAAAAAAAGTTCTTAAAACCACAGAGAATCTTGTAAGTTTGATCGTAATCACTAATCTTAAATGAGCTAATTTTCAGGTCTTAAGAATTCAAAGGGTACAGCGAACTCTCCCAAAGCAATTTGGCCCTTGAGATGAATTTGACGGTTCACTAGCAGCCTCATTCCAAATTAAAATCCACTGTATTGCTCAAACTAACATCAGAACTTGTTGCTCAAACTTTCTTTTGCACACATTTGATCTTGAGGAAGGCAGGGAACGGAACGGAACAACTGGTCAAGCTCTAAGAAGGGGCTCTAAGAGAAGTCCAGGACATGTCAAAGCTCGAGTACAGAGAAAGAGAGAGAGAGAGGAAAGCGGATGGAGCCGGAGGGGACAGAGCAAAGTCCAGCAACATCCAACGTGGGTTGAAGAGACAGCTTTAACATGCATAAAGGAACCTGTTCAAACACAAGCATTCCCCTCTTTAATGATGGGTCAGCGGGGTTAATGAAATAAGATCCCCTGGCCATTCCACCCAGATTGAATCACAGTCACCTGATACGCTCCTTCCAACTCGCTCTCCGAAATTATTTCAGTAACAAAATTAATTAGTTAATTATACTTCTGCCACTCTCTGGAATATCCAACAAACAGTTCCGGAGAGGGTGGGAACGATCCGCCGAGACCACGCAACCCATTTTACCGGCTGTCCTCAAACAGCCTCAAACACACTTTGATTCTAACGCTATTAATTTCAGATAATGACTTAATTTAGCGCTCAAAGTACTTCAAAAACACTGATAGAAAAAAAAGTACATCCAGAGTATTACCATACCCTGAATAAGCAGAGGAACGATTTAGGGACCTGCTGCTATGTCGGCTGTTTTAGCCCAAAGGCAATCACTCAAGCTCTAACAATGAGCTCACACACAGACACGTACAAGGCTGAGGGAAGGAAAATAAAAAACAAAAGCCCATTTACATTCGGAAAATGTGAAGCTTTGTGTGCCTCCCATAAAACTGCTCTGAAAAAAGCACCCTACTGGAATGGCATTGGGGGGGCTGCAGTGAGCGGATCAATGGCCCATTAGTGGCAGAGGGAGGAGGAGACAGACAGCACCCTCTATTGACCCATCAGTGGATTGCTGTTTGCTTTCAGGAATGTAAAGAACATCAGAAACACCCTGCACACCCCTTATAACGGCACAGAATAGAGCACTGTGATGTTCCTTGTCAAACCAACAAATGCATAGCGAGCTTAAGGAACAGCAAACTATGCGAATCATTGTGAACTCCTTTGGTATGCATACATTAAAGAAATACTCCAACCTAATCTCTATCTGCCACATCTATATTGTACCCTTAATTGAATTGACAAACACGTTTCCCTGTACTTAGTAAAAGAATTAAAAACCTGCTGACTTCAGTGCCTCCTCACTGGCTTCAGTTAGACACAGTTATAATAGAAGCCAATGGCCAGTTGTTTCTCCTGCCAATTGGCTTCTTTTGTAAGAGTGTTTGAAGTCAATGGGTTTTCTGTTCTGTTACTAAACAGAGGAAATACACGCCTGTGGTAATCAACCATATGCTATAGATTTGGCAGATACTGATTAGGATAGAAAATGCTGGACTTCTTTGAAGTGTCCTGGGCAGTGTCATCCTATGGCAGTCCATATAAGCCTGTGGAGAACGTTAGGTTGGTGCATAACTGCGCAAATGTCAGAGACCACCATTCGTTTATTTAATTCCCAGTCAAAATGGTAAGTGGTTAAGTTATTCATTTGCAGCAATAAAAATGTATTCTTGGGAAAATAAGCCAATAACATACAATAGTATGCAAAAGTCAAAGGTTTAAGCACATTATTTTAAACCATGTATCACACTTGTCGCATTTAATCAAAAGCACACTTGCATTAACAGAATGAAGTATTAATTATCCAAACTGGGCTACCTCAAGGAGATGATGGAAATGGTTAAACTGACATAAAAACATGTAGAATTACTTTTAATTGTATTAAAAGCACTTAAATCTAATCTTCTAAAGTGACTAAAACATTTGCACAGTACTGTATATTTAACAGGAAATTAAAGAAGCCACAACAGTCAAATACCAAAATTTTCACCACTTAGTTTCTCCACCTTTTGCTTATATTGCAGCTTCTATTCTTTTTGAGAAACTTGCTTTCACTTCTTCAAAGAAATCTGCAGGGATATTTTTCCACACCCTCAAAGTTCACTTATGCTTTCTCGCAATCCAAAATCCCAAACCCACTCTGTGGTGGTGAGGTCTGGACTCTGGGGTGGTCAGTCCATTGTTCTGAGAAAACCAGCAGCTTCTTTTTCAATCTGTGGATTTTATTCTTTTTTGTCTGTTGCCTTTTCTCAGTGAGGTTCTTGACAGCTACACATCCTTTCAGATCGATTGTGATGAGTTGTCTTCTCACAGTGGAAGGATGGACAGAAACATCTGTGAATATTTTCAGATCTGTAGCAGCTTGATTTTCTCCTCTCTTTCAAAGATGAGAGTATTATTTATCTGATGATGGTCAGATAATGATGATCTACCACATCTTGCATGGTTATTAAGAGTTCCATTCTTTCTGTATCTTGAACTACAGTTTTGGAAACTTTTTGGACTTTCCCTTGCCTATACAAGTGGATTATCTTACATCTACTCACCTCAGAAATATTTTCTGAGGAATGAATAACATGTACTTAATGACTGTTTTGACTAGAAGTGAAACAAATGAAGGGTGGCCTCCGAATTTTACAGTATTGTATATCTATTGTATATCCCATCTCTGTCATTTAATCTGGCTGGCAGGGGGTGAGAATATCAGTCACCTGAAAGGCATCTGGACTGTTAAACATGCAGAGCAGAGAGAGAGACAGAGAGCGGTGCAGGAACATACAGTGTACATCAAATGCGCTGAAGATGTGCCTCGTCTTCTCATACGGATCCTCTGCTGACAACTTCCTCCCCATGAGAGACACAAACCGCTCCAAAGGGACCCCTTTCAGAGAGAGAGAAAGAGAAAGAGAGTGTGAGAGAAAGAGAGAGAAGCCAGGTTTATTACAAAGCTCTCCTCAGAAGTGCCTGTACTTCCTTTACATGGCAGTCATCTGAAAGCACTGTGTTTAAAGGAGTAATATGTCTCCCTCTTGCCTGCAGGGTAGTCATTTTTCTCTGAGTGCTGTTATTGAGATGAAAAAGGTAGGCTGGGGGGCTCTAGACAGCATTCTCTAGAAATACCAAACACACACAGGGCTTTGGAGAGCGGTTCTGGGTGGGCTGCTTTGACAGTGATGCTTGTGAGACTGGGGAGAAATGCCTTTTGGGATGGAGAGTAATTAATTAAGAGATACGAGGCCAGACGGGATGGGCCCCAATGTGTTGCGAATAACGGCTAAACTAAATGTAGCGAAATCACAAATCAGAATGACATAAAAACATCTACTCCCTAAAAATGATAAAACTGAGCATCTGGGGGAAAAAAAGGAGGGAATAATGTCTTCCTAAGGATATGGATAAGAAACTAATGAGTGACAATAACTGACAAAGCCCATCTTTTTCTGGTCTACAGTGCTTCGAACATTGAGAGAATTAGGCCAGACGTTGCCTCGGGAGATTTTAAGGACATCACAGAGGAAAGTGGCTATCACTACCCCAATCATACAGACACTGACTTTTAATACATGAATATTTAAGAAAATAATGATCCATTTTTACTCAAATGGCGTAATCAGAGCGAGATGATGAGTTTGTCATCTTGCCTTGTAGTTACCCTGTTTACCTGCATCTTATCCAAAATACATTTTCACTCCCTCTCTTTTCCTCACACATACACACACAGGCGTTCGTACGCCAGGCAGAGTGTTTGGCAGCAAATGAAAGAAGGAGATCTGTGTGGGCTTCTTTAAACCGCCCCCCCCCTCTCCTTCTCTTTCTCTCTCTCTCTCCTTCAAACAGTGCTGTGGTGGGGAGCCAGTGGAGGGCTGATTGCCATTCCCTCAGATGCAGAGCCCATCCGTCACGGGACAGTGTCAGCTGGGTGGCCATCGTTTCTCTCCTATTCCTCTACCCTCTCTCTCCTTTCCTGTCCTCTTTTCTCATCTCTGCTCCTCCCTTTGCCTTTCTCCTTTCCATATTCTCATCCTTCTTTTCTCCTTTCCTCTAGCAAAGTGACTCACCCAGCAGCCTTGGCCACTGCCAGCCTGTCACTTTCCATACATGAGAACACACACACTTCTATTGCTATTGTTGTTTTTCCATGAGGCATCAGATCCAGAATCACTTTATTGGGCAAGCACTCTTCTATGTACCATGAATTTGTCTAGCTGGTGCTAGTGCTCCCTAAATAGACAATACAGAACACAATTAGCCTTCATTTATTTAACTAGCCACTAAGCAACACTCGTCATTTTTCAAGAGATGCTTCTGAGGAGATTAGATGTAAGATAGTCCAGTTGAAAAAAGGAGGGGAAAGTCAAATGAAAATTGAAACTGGTTGAAAAATGAAAACTGGAGTTAAAAAAATGATTCAAAGCTACAGAGAAAATTGGATTCCTAACAACCATGCAAGACCTGGTCGACACCAAAACTGTTCCTGTCAGATAAACAGCACTTAAAGTTTTCATCTTTGAGAGAGAGGAGAAAATCAAGCTGCTTCATATCTGAAAACATCCACAGGTGTTTCTGTCCATCCTTCCACTGTGAGAAGACGACTCAGCGCTATGGGTCTGAAAGGATGTGTAGCTGTCAAGAAGCCTCACTGAGAAAAGGAGACGGACACATCAAACAAAGAAGCTGCTGGTGTTCTCAGAACAATGGACTTAACATATATTTGGATTGTGAGAGGCAGAAAGTGCAACCAACTACTAAGACTGAACTTTAGAGGTGTGAAAAATATCTCTGCAGACTTCTTTGAAAAACTGACAGCCTCTCAAACATTATGGAAGGGTGGAGACAATAAATACTAAAAATTAACTGTTATTAATGTTGACGACGTCTGTTAATTATGTTTTCTGAATGTTTTCCTGATGCTAAAAAGTTCTTCTACTTAACAGCCGTTTTGCCTCAAAATTAAATATATGAAGAGTGGTTGCTGACATTTTCTCAATACTGTATATACATTTTACTGCCATCAAATATCAAATATAGTGCTTCTGAACAAGTACTCATATATTTGTTCTCAAGAGCACCCTAAAAACAATAATATTTACCTCTCTGAATTATATTTACCTCTCTGAATTAATACTGGTGGTAGAGCAAATGAGCTCAAATCAGCTGTGGTGTATGGCATGTACCAAGCGGTACTTGTATAAGGATCACTATGCTTGCATATTTGAGACGATTAATCAAACCTGTTGTGTCTCTGGGGTAAACCAACCTCTAATCTCAAATTTTGCACTGAGCATTTTTCTTATCGTATTATAACTGAATGTGCTCCCACATGTGCACATGTGATTTCACAGACATCTCTGCTCTTTTAGCTTCAGTGGCCCTCCCCCTCCCTACTCACTTTACCAAATGAGAGACCCCTGGAAAAAGAGGGTGCATGGGTATAAATTGAATTTGTGTGATTTTATATATCCTCACATCTCCAAAATGATAACTTTACAGGAGAAGAAAAAAAACATACTTTACTCTTAATGTAAGTCAATGGAACCAGACTTTTTCCAAGTCATTTTGGGTTAGGTCTTTTGGTCCATTCATCATGAAATTTACAAACTATATAAAGGGCAATGGGTAATTTGAAATTATGTCAAAAGCTGAAAAACGTCAAAAATAGAAATACATTTACAAAGGTAAATTTGACATTTTTCACTTCTTCGTCGTGGTTTCGTGTCAAGTTTAATGTGTTTAAGTACACAACTAAACAGAAATGACTTAACACTGTACTGTGTGTATTCTTGTAGCTAATTTTTATACCTCAAATTTAGTGGCCAAAAGGATTTTTTGTTGTTAGCTTTTTTAAGAAATGCTGCATTGACTTCTAGGGACCAACAAACTGTCTTCACAACATTCGAGATTCTATGCTTTCCAGTTATGTTACAGATATTATAAGGAGGTTCCTCTCTAAGACACCAGAAAGCACAGTGCACAGATGCAGTAGTCTGGCTGTCTGCTGTATCTATTTAAAATCACAGGCCTCTTTGATCTATGCCCATTCCTCTCGTCCCTCTGCTGTCCCTGTGCTCTAGCTGTGCAGGTTATAGGGGGAGGTGTGCACATTTGATGCTAGAATAAATAATATTTTACAAATGTTGCTGGTGCTGTTGATGAGGCTTGAATATAAATGAGAGGAGTCTTTTCCCTCTCCAGATCGTCTTCAGATACATATGTAGATCTTCTGATCTAATCAGCTGCTCTGTTCTGGCAAAGCCAAGCATTTGTTCAGGCATTGTGATGTGCCGGGATGGCTGTTCAAACATGGGCCACACTAAACAACTCCATCTGCAAAGAGAGGTCTGGGAAGATTCTGTATTCGCATGCGTTTTGCTTCATGTCTGGGTGTTTGACATCTGACACAACATTGCTTTCACATTTTCAAAGCAGAAATTCAAAGGAAACATTTGTATGATGTTTTGAAAATAAGACTCTTTAAAGCCACAATCAGGAATCCTGCAAATCTCTGAACAGATGTCGATACTGTAACAACAGAAGCTTTCCAAAAGCAGCAATATTGCAGTTAAACATACAAAAGTATTAAACCCATAGTCTTTGTTTGTGAATTCTTGGCTAATCCTATAATAGCTACCAATCTGAAATATCTAGACGCTGTCAATAGATGCATTCTTTCATGTAGAAAGGCGTGAAAACACACCTTGTTAAGATAACTGGAATAGGGGTGTAAATTATTAACTGATTAATCTAAAACTATTAATCAACAAATCAAATGGTTTGACCAATGCAATCGGTTAAAAAAAAAGGTTAATTCAATTGTATATAATTTCCAACACTTTTCTGACAGTTTCTATTTGAATTAGTGGGTTTATTGTTCAAGTTAAGGAACGTTATTGAATTGTAACTCTGAGGCCATAACAGGCAACTGGTTCTACTAGAGAGGCCTACTAAAAAAAAAGTGCACAGTTAAAAGTAGTGGTGTTCTGGACCACTTTTCCAGAGAACAATGGCACAACTACACAATGTACTAAAGCACCAATTCCAAATAAGTTGAGACAGTATGCGAAATGCTAATAAAAACAGAATAAATTCTGTATTTTATTAATTAAAAATGGTACAACAACACAATCTATTATGCTTTTTGTTTTTTTTGTAAATACATGCTCATCCTAAATTTGATGCCTGCCACATGTTCCAAAAAAGTTCCATGTTTGAAAACTGAAGACACAAATTGAAATTGAAAGTGGAATATTTTTGCAATTTTTTGCTATACAACAAGTCTGCAGCTGTGCAACCGTACAGGGCCTTCATTGTTGTATTTTTGCACATGCTTTCACACATTTTCCGACAGGTCTGGACTGCAGGAAGGCCAGTCTAGCACATGCACTCTCTTATTACGCAACCATGAAGTTGTAATGTGCAGAATGTGGCTTGATGTTGTCATGTTGAAATAAGTATGGACATCCCTGAAAAAGACGTCATTTAGAAGGCAGCATATGTTGCCCCTAAATGTGTTCAGCATTAATGGCGCCTTCACAGGTGTGGAATCTTCCCATTAGTATCCCTTCATACTATGATAGACCTTGGATTCTGAATTTTATGTTAGTAACAATCTGGATGGCCTTTTTCTTCTTTGGTTTGGGGACCACAACAATTATTATTTCCAAAAAAATCTGATAGGTTGACTTGTCAGACTACGGTATGTTTCCACTGCGTGTTACTGGACGCTGTTGATGTATGACTTTCACTATACATAGTCCAGCCTTAACTTACATTTGTGGATGCAGCAACGGACAGTGTATACAGAAACACAAGACAGAAAATTATTTTGTCCATGTTCTGCAAGAGAAAATGTGATGCAATTTTGTGATGCATGTTTGTGTAAAATTAAAAAGAAGGATATGATAGATGGTGACAGCTTTTAAGAGCTGCTGGGGTACACTGAGCCAAAGCTAGCCCTACTCATAGCATTTATGTTTGTTCGAACTTGGGCTAATGAGTGCTGAATATCACTTTAGAGCTTTAGAAAACAGAACTTTCAGTAGCCCATCATTGTACATTCCAGCCGTTTGGTCAACTTCACAGTTTTGGTCATATAATCACCCACATATAGTTGTCAGCCCCTCAAAACTAGGTTCTCATGTAGACTATATTTAATATGGTTTTGGGCCATTTGGTTCATGTAGATATCTATGCGTGACCCCACCTATCATTACTTCCATGGTCCATACAAGAGCATGTTTTAATATCTTGTTGCATTTTAGTTGATGTGTGGATATCAAGTATTTTGTAATGGCTTTAAATGTGGGTCAGCCAATCAGATTTCAGAATAGAAACTATCCATTCTGTAACTGAGACTTTGATGGGTTACAAGTCAATGATAAATCGCCGACAAAAGGCGATCAGCTGGAGGTCAAAAGAATTCGCAAAAATATACATCCCTAGTTGATGTAATACATTTTACTCATGTAGAAATTACATCAAATATGAATCAAGTGAACTCAATGTAATTTTTCAGAGCATTTTAGAGTGCAGGGGACTTCCATGTGTCTTTATAAAGTGTATCAATTCATTTGTACTTCATTTTCAAAACATTTTTGTCCTTCTCTCACAGTTTCCTTGCCCCATCAATGTTTTGGCTGTTGGATAAAAAGCATGTAGACTGCCTAAACGGCACAATAATGGTACCTAATACATTGCTGTAACTGCCAACTTCCAAAGTCTAGTGTCAATTAGATTCAACATCACAGTCCAGCTTAGCAGCTTTTTTATACTGAAAACTCAATGTCACGAAGCAACTTTGAACTGTGAAGCGTGTTGTAATTTCTCATTAAGCTGAATGGGATTTTTTTCATTCTTTAAACTTTGTGAGTGAAGCATGGATAGGTCAATTGTTCCAGGAAGTCCTGATTAGGGCATAAAAGTTACAGTAAGTAGAGATTTCTCATAGAAGTTCATCACTTTGGATTTCGAGGTAACACTTTATTTGGATAGTCCACTTTAGTAGATACTTAATTTACTTTCCAGTTACATTTAAATAAATATCTACTAAATTGACCACAATTTTCTTTAACTCTAAACCTGGCTCTAATCCTAGCCCTAACCTCAACCTAAAACCTAAACCCTAAACCCAACCCTCACCCAGGTCCTAACCCTAACCCTGGTCCAAATCCTAACCCTAACCCCACCACTGTTTAGAATCAACTGAGTTTCATCAGATAGTTTGTTAACAATTTGAACTTATCTATAGATAATCTACAGAGGACTACAGTGGACTATTTAAATAAAGTAAGACTGATTTCTGTTCTAATACACGAAGAAATGACCACTTCTCAATAGCCAAACGTGCTGTGAGGCAACTCTCATGATTGATAGCAATTTAGTTACGTAATTCACCAGCAACATGAAATAAGAAATACCAAATCGGCCAATTAAAATGCTGATAACAGCTCATTTAAACAGTGCCATCATAAATGTAAAGAAGTGTCGGTTGCATCCACAGAAAAGAAATAAAAAGCTAAAGTTAAAGCTCGAGAGCCATGCCGATAAGCGGCCCACCCTACCGCACTGCACAGAGGCAGCTTATTAAGACTTCCCTTCCTTTCATGTGATATTTTGTTAATTTTATTACACAATTGGGAAGCCAGAGAGTAAGATAAAGGAAAAAGGATGAGAAAAAAAGCAAGTAGAAGGGGTGAGTGGGCTAGTCAAGTGGTGGTGGTATTGTGAGGATTGCAGTGCGGCTCAGGCGCCTTAAGTGGTCTCTATTCTGTGTGAGAGGCTGCCAGAGGGATCCCACTCCTCAGTCTAGCCAAGCCTTCCACATTACTACCAGCAACCCACTCCTTCCTGCCATCACTAATTTAGTAATCACATGAAATTCAGAAGAGGGGCAATTTAATTCACCATTTGCTCTGAGCAAGATTTAATGGTGGAATATTTCATCACACCAAGCATGCCACTTTAACTAGATTATCTTACGCTTTCCTACAGGGCAGTATACAAAAGCAATTTGCTCGTGGCGTAAAACAAGAGACAAATTACTTACTAATCTAGGTCTTCAACCATTTAATGTCTCCCCTTAAAAATGTCTTGCCAACCCCCTTTTCTTCACTGTTCCTGTCTGTCAAATGCCCTGCGAAAGCCTGTATGCATTTCACGCCAAAATTATTTTGCGCCTTTTGTGGGGGATTCTTTCATTTCTGGCAATGTGTAAAACGATTACACGAAATCAAGTCAAGCTCCTTTTCCTTTCATTTTGCTTGAGTGGTTATAAACACGGTTTTCTCTGTTGAAATCAGGAGAAAATTTTGCGTATCGCGCTCGGGCTCAAAATCAGCATGGGCTGCAGAGCTCCTGTCTCGGCTGGAGGTGAGTCACCTCAATGAGTTGTAACGCGATGATGAATGGCGCATGAAAATGGAATGACGGCTCAAATAATGGACGTATACCTCACAGGGAGCAACTGGAGCTATCAGGGCATTGAGACAGGTTCAGGAATATTTGTCAAATTAAAAAGCACTGTGTTGGAACCGGTGTTCGTCCTCTTGCCTGCTCCTCAATAATCATTCCAGATTCTCTCATAATTTCCAGACTGAATCTTGTGATGTGTCTGTTTACCTGAGAGGTGAGTAGAAACTGGTTACATTTACTCAGTTACAGTGAAAGTTTAATGGATTTGTACTTTCAAATGATTCTATGTTTGCTCAAGCATATTTGTGAGAAAATGAATCAACTCAGTTACAACATTTAGTTGCTAGCTCTTTTTTGTGTGTTTACTTTCATTATGTTATGTTACGTTGGTGATGGCATGTGTTCTGCTTTGGCCACATCTCTGACTTCTGAAGTTCATCGCTTTAATTTAGACTCAGCATACACCAAAAAGAGAAGAAGCTTAATAAACTTCTCCTGTGAAAAAAGCTCCTGTGCTGACAGACGTACTAAGAAGTTCCGCTTCAGTTCCACTTAAGCAGTTTTGAGTTCTACTTTTATACTTTTACCCAAGTTTTTTTTTGGAAAGGTACTTCTTCTTTTACTTAAGCCATTATTTCACTTAAGCATCAATCCTTTTACCTCTGGCTCCCTTCATATATCTCTAAACTGACAGTCTGTGCTCTCTTATATGCACTAGTGAGGTGACAAGCTGAGCAAGCATGTCCTGATCTTACCTGGACAGTTAGGTACAGCACCAGCCTGCATCATGATATCAGTTTCTGACTGCAAAGGAGGAAACATAGCAATGTGAAAGACCTACATAATTATACAGTTAGGATTACATTTCCATATCTATTTTAGGCAAGACCTGGCCTTGTACCACGCAACAGCACACTGTTGCAAATAAAGCCCACTTTATAAACTATCAGATGTCGCCCCCTAGAGGCCGGAACAGGATTTACCTTAGAGGGTTTGTATCCAAACAGCATGACAACTGCAGCCTTAAGATCTTCTCTGGATAAGTAACCTTTCTTTTCCACATCACATTGATCGAACACCTGAAAGAAAGCAAAACCAGGCCAAAAAATCAGCACCTGTGTAAAACTGTAACTGTAGCTTTGATATGCTAACTTTATGAGCCATAACTTAGATTTCATTTTATGTTTAAAATCCATAATTCAGCCGTTTCATTTATCACTTTGCCGTTCCTGTTTTAAGAAAGATGTCAAAAAACAGCACCGAAAAAAAACTTCGCTATGTAAATTAACGTTAGCACAAGTTAGAGCTAACGGTTTTCTTGAGCAACTCGGTTTTTCCCACGAAGATGTAGTCAGCCTCTTGTTTGGATTTTCCCGGTCCACCTTAAATGGTGCAGCAGTTACAGCTTACCACGCTGAAATCAGCCTCTTATTCGCCAGCTTCTTGTTTGAATATTCCCGTTCCACCTTAAATGCTGTAGCAGTAAGCTACAGTCTGGCGTCTGAGGCCGTAACTGCTGCAGCGTTTAAGGTGGAACGGGAAAATTCGAACAAGAAACTGGCGAATAGGAAGCAAACTTAAGCCTCGTGTTTTTCTTGATCTTAATACTTGTCTTGATTGCAGCATAAAGTAATGATGTATCCGAAAAGACCAAGGAAAATGTATGAATATATACTGTAATTCCAGAGACGTTCTTCAGAGCCCGGATAGCTCAGTCGGTAGAGCATCAGACTTTTAATCTGAGGGTCCAGGGTTCAAGTCCCTGTTCGGGCGAGCAAACCTTTTCACAAAAACTCAAGCTTTAAACGCTGTTTTTGACTGCTAACATCATTACATATTAATGTCAGCGTTTTAATTTGACCTGAGCTGATTCAACGACATGGCACTCTCTACCTATGGACACTTTTAATGGTACTTTTTTGTCCAAAACTGTGGAGATGTTAATACTTATATGAATAGAAGTATATATGTAAGCTTTGTAATGATCTACTACTAGGCATAACTTTATACACTTCAAAAGACTTCACAGATTCATCTAATAAATCCTCATACTACATTTCTCACAATAATAATGATAATATAGAAAATACCCAATGTTCAGATGTGGATGGTAACTAGAGCTGGGTGGTGTGGCAAAAACGTAATAGCACAATACTTCAAGACTCATTTCTGATACACGGTATGTCACGATTTTTTAATTTTTTGACATCTGAAAAGTTGTAACAGACAAAATAGCACCACATTTATAAAATACTATAAAAAACTGTGAATCCACACTGCCCTGCACTAAATCCAATTAAACAGGACTAATTATGCTGCCTTTTTATCAAATATGGAGTTAGAAAGTTTTTTCAAGCACTATGATATCCACAAACGCTCAGAAAAGTGATATTGTGACATATTGTCACGTAAGTTATCATGATAAAAATAAATACTGTCATATTGCCCGGCCCTAGTAGTAAATATGCTTGAAATCAGTTAACTACATGTGCTCAACCACAAGTAAAATTTCCTAAAAACGCTTTCCAAACATTTTCAATTTGTGATACTTTCACTTCTGTATGTCTATATGTGAGGAAAGAAATCTACTTTTTATTCAGTGTAACAGTTTAGTAATTTAATATCTAATACCTTTTTGTGTTTAGTTTCATTATGTTACACTGATGACAGCATACCGCCTGATTTGCAGCTGGTCACACCTTTGACTTTAGAGTTATAGCATTTTATTTTACTCCAGTTTTCCAAAAAAGAGAACAGAGCTTAAAGGGGAACTCCACAGATTTTTCAAAATGTCTGCATTATTAAAATATTAACATACCAACAAAATAATTCAGAGTGGTTTGGCGTGAAATGCATCGTTCTAGAGTAACTTGCTAAGTCAGAACTGTTCACAGTGGTGGTGATAGGAACCAGACATCTGAAGTGTTTAATGCCTCTAAAAAAAATCACAGAAAGTTATTACATGGTATGGTTAGATATACACTGCCTGATGCCTGAGACACTGTTTTACAACAGTTTTGTGATAATGTTTTGGTGCAAAACATATTTGAATCAATTTACTTTAATCCATTTATGGTGTAGGGATACATGAAGGCAAAATAGACCCCAAAGAAAACTTAATTTTTCAGATTTACCACCTTCATCAGCATCACATATAAAAACTGTGTGTATGGTCACTGATAATTTTGGATAGTAAATAAAGTGGCTATATTTGTGTTGTTGACACTGTGACCCCTGGTTCCTATCACCACCACTGTAAAGAAATCTGTACGTTTGTCAACAATGAAACACTTCACATCAAAATACTCTGAACAACTGTTTACATCTAAAGGACTGAATTACTTTTAAATAACTTTTTAAATATTGGTGGAATTCCCTTGTAAGCACTTTTTTTTTACCTGACACGTTTGTACATCGTCCCAAGTTGTTTAGGAAAGGTACTTTTTCGAGTCACTGTTTAACATAAGTGACAGTATTTTTCTTCTTGGGTTTGGATGCTTGTCTACCCACGTTTTTCTAAACACACGGTGAAGTTGATATTTTATAATTGCTGTAGCATAAACATATTCATAAAAAATATCTACTGTTATTTTACTACACGACAGCACCCTACATGGCCTAAATGTATGCCTTACTGTGAACAGACTTCTCAAAAAAAAGCAGCTAACTGTTAGTTAGCTAACGTTAGCTAGTTAACTGTTATTGAAACGTTACCTGTAGGTTGTGATATGATAGCTAGCTAGCTTGTCCACACGTCCTCTACAGAGAACACACAATAGCATTTTTAGCAAATTATAAAGTTTAACATACTGAAAAAAATGAAGCATGTGCCATAACTTCTGCATGGACCACATTTTATTTTTCCCAACATGTAAAATGAGAATTGTTCACAGTGGTGGTGATAGAAACCAGACGTCTGAAGAGTTTATTGCCTCTAAAAGTTCCCTCACAGAGTGTAAGGTAAGGTTTTTATTAATGGCAGTGGGTGTTCTAAAGAAAGATAAGACCCAAAGAAAACATTTTTCAGATTTACAACTTTTATCATAACATTACATTACATAGAAATTTGGAAAACACAAGTAGGTTCACTGGTGGTTTTGGATAATAAATAAAACGGCAGCATTTGTGTTGCAGACATCTCGACTTCGGGTTCCTATCACCACCACTGCAAAGAAATTTAAGTCTGTAAGTTTCTCTACAATTAACTATTTCACACCAAACCACTCTGAATGAGTTTGTTCAAATCTCAACGACAGAATTATACAGATAGCCCACAAATGAAGGGTGTATTCAGTTATGGTTTGCAGTAATCTTGACGTGGTGGGACTTGCTGTCATATAGAACCGTTTGTACACCATGTAGACCAGCAACAATAAAGCTGTGTGCAAAGTTTTATCCTTTAAAAATAAATAAATAAAAAAGCCAGCCAGAGAGATATGATAGTTAGAGCCTTACCGAAGCAAATCTTTTCCTCTCAATATCGGTCATCTCTCTGTCAGTCCTACAAAAGGCTGCGGCACTACGAAAAGACATATCTACTCTATTACGACAAGATATCTAGCATTTAAAATCTAATCTCTAGTTATAGTTTTTAAAACAATTTTGCAAATCAATTCACTGCTCGGAGTTCCGTTTAAGTTAGCTCAGCTCTTGTCGCTTGGCAACAGAACACTGTCGAGTTTTTCGCTGACAAAAGCCGGGAAAAAACGGAAGAGTTTGTTTAAATAACAGCGCAAATCAGCTACTTAATTGATGGATTTTAACAAGCAGTACGCACCAAATCATACATCTTAACGCGGTATTATGTATTTAACCCCTTACGTGTATTTTTTACATGTTAAAACGAAGAGGACTTTTATTTTGAAGAATAGTTTTACTCTCTGTCCGCTGCGTTGATTCCCACCTAGCTAAACAGAAAACAACGTGCAGTGCGGAGTTCAAAACATACAAGAATGAGGCAAACGCTGTTTCATCAGACAAGACCAGTCTAGAGTTAACTGTAGATGGTGTATTTGATCACTGTGAAGCAAGTTCCACAAGTTTTTCATTTGTATTAGCTGGAAACATCCTTTACCCTGCAAAATCCCTCTCTCTCTCTTCCCGCCAGAGTAAGTCACTCTCTCTCTCTCATGGCTCATGGCTCTGTAACGTTATGCAGCTGAATATCGTATTAGATCAAAAGTTAGAGTTAGAAAGTATCCCACTGTTGAAACTGTGTTCATTTATTAGGGTCTGTAATTATCTGTGAGTGTGCTGATGTTATTTAACGTCATATGTCTTAGTTTTAGCCAGCTAACTGTTAGCTGTTGGGAATTAACTTACCAAAACAACGTCTACAACATCTGTAACGTTACCTGTGAGTGAATGATCCCGAGAAAGAGAATTAACTTAGCTATTTAACTTGAATAGTTTAAGGGGAATTCCAGCTATTTGTCCACTTTTTTTAATATTTAAATGGTCAAGATGTAAAAGTCATTCAGAGTGGTGTTGATAGGAACCAGACGTCCTCTAAAAACGTGGATGTCAAAATGCCTCTAAAAGCTCCATCACAGAAAGTTGTTACATGGAATGGTTATAAATGCGATGCCTGAAACGTTTTAAACGATACTTCTGAGAAGATTCTGTTCCAAAGTACCTATATATCTTTAATACATTAATGGCAGAGAGGTACATACAGGATGTTGTGTGACAAAATATTGCCTAAAGAAAACTTTTTTTTCACTATTTTATCATCAACATTTATATATGAAAGCTCAGAAGACACGTGAAGGTCCACTGGTGGTTTTGGATAGTAAATAAAATGGCTGTATTTGTGATGGATACATTGCAACCCCTGTCTCCTATCACTACCACTGACTTTATTTACATGTCAGTGATTGAATTATTCAGAAACTTTGAAAAATCAATGGTATTCCCCTTTAAAATACAGTAAGGTTTTTTAAGCTATTCACTTGAATGACATTGTCCCTATCCTGAAGTCTCCCTGGACTGGACACTTCAGTGATTGTTTTCCCTGCTCCAATTTCCTTATCTGATAATGAGAATTTATAAAGGTGAAAATTTGTAATTGACTTGTTTGCTGTGACAATCCTGAAGTTAAAATTGGTGACGGTGCTCAAGAAAAAAAAAAGCCAGTTTTTACCCATTAAAGCCTCAGTAAAGAGTATATTGGAGCAGATCAGGAGGTCACCAGGATCACGACTGGGAAACACTCTACTAAAGTGGCCAGACAAAGTCAGAGAAGGCTTAACTGTTTGGTTTCCACAGCATTTATCGGTTCTCTTTACATTTTAAAGAGGAATTCCATCTATTTTTCAAAATTTTTATGTAATTCATTCAGTCACTGAGATGTAAACAGTCATTCAGAGTGGTGAGATGTGATTTGAAATGGAATGTTGTACAAAAACATGCCAAATTTATTTACAGTGGTGAACCAGAGATTGCAGTGTCCAAGCACAAATGTAGTTTATTCGCTATGCTGTTTTTATACGTAATGTTGATAGAAGTAAAATCGTGATAAATCTGAAAAAGGGTGCTGTTTTGCTTTTCAACACCCTGCATGTACAACTCTACCATGAATGGATTAAAAATTTTTTTTTATGCCACAATCTTATCTCAAACCTACCGTAAAACAAGGTCTCAGGCATCAGACAGCATATTCCTTACCATTTTAGTAACTTTCTGTTAGGGAGCTGCTGGAGGCATAAAACTTGTCAGATGTCTGGTTCCTACCACCAACACTGTGAACAATTCTGGCTTATAAAGGCTTATAAGAATTAACAGAAGTTAAAAAAAAATGGAATTTCCCTTTAAGGTGCCTTATGTTGGGTGGACATAATAATAGAAACACCTAAGAATATTATGCCTTAACATCAAGAACCTAATTAGCAGCAAAACCAATTTTTTGCTCTTCAGAGCAGCCTCTGAACTCTGTGTACTGGGGATACTGGAACGTCCTTCAAAAAGAAGAGCCTCCACTTCTTTGGAGGAAATGTTTGTGCTCAAGCATAACTGACTACTTTCCAACTTTCCATCTAATGATTGGGAAGGTCATAGAGAGCTTCTGATTTCATGCTGGTGTAAATGAAATCCCTCTTGAATTTGTTGAACACAGTTTATCTCACAATGTGGGAAGAACATAAGTGAACAGTGTTGCTCCTGTAGAACATCCTCGTTGTTTGGCCGTTATACAGCCTTGCGGGGCAGTTAATAGACTAATGATGCCACACTAGGCCCAGTGAAGATATAGCAGCTTTGTGGTAGAGCTGAGTCTGGGTTGTAGAGGTGCTATTGATGTTCAGTGGTCAATTTTGTGTTTAACAACAGTCTTATTAAATGTCCATGTGTTTTGTGAGCTTGGAGTCAAGTCCACTGCTTGTGCCTTTTATGTTATGCATGAGTCATGCTGATTTTCAGGACTTGACACATTAAAAAAATTGGCATTTTTATGGCCAGTGTACCTGAACTTTGGGTGCTGATCATGTGGATTTTTCCGAACTCTATTAGTTGACTCACATTTTTTTGAAAAGACATATGAAAGTGTTTTTACATCACTTTTGTTCCTGATACTTGCTGCTTATTAGCATTTAACTCAGTATGACTCACCATGTAGGTGCCATTGTACTTGTGATTTAGTTTTTTTTCCATGTGGTGCTTTTGTTTATGCTGTTAGGCACTGGAACAAACTCCTATTTAAAGCAGGTAAAGAGTAATCGTTTTTGAATTATCAAATGACTACTGTTGCTTCTTGTTTCCACAGTAGAACAGAATGTCCCAGGAAAGTCAGCATGGCAAGTGGACGCTGTCTGACAGTGATGATGATAACGTAATACCCCCAACACCTCCAAAGAAGCCAAACCTCAAGCCTGATCCAGAGCACAGGGCCAATGCAGTTAACACTGTACCAAAGCCAAAACCCAAATCTGAGCCATCTATTAAGACTGAAGAAATATCTGCCCCTCCCATGGGCTCCGAGGCCCGTCAAGCAGCGCACCTTAACCAGAGTAATCCAGTGAAATACGAAAACAGTTCTTCACCAGCTGTTAAACGGAAGAGAGAAACGGATGAGGGAGGTTGGAACCTCTCGAGCAGTGATGATGAAGCTCCTTCATCTGCCCCTAAAGTAAAACCCAGACAGTCGAGGTCAAGTCCTGCGAAGAAGAAGATTGAGGACAAGCGGCCGCCGAGTCCACACGGTCCCGATTATTATAAAGAGGAGCCGAGTGATTTCTTTGAAGCTAACTTATCTGCCATGAGTGACACATACCGCTTTTATTTAAACAAAGTCACTGGCATAGAAAAGAAGTACAACACTGGAGCTTTGCACATCAAAGGTAAAAAAGTGTTAGAAAATATTTTAGCTTTCTGTCTGTGAGGTTTCTATAAAATAGACAGGGGTGTGAGTTCTTTTGAACTTCATTTAATTAAAAACTGTTAATTTATTTATTTCTCTCTTTCAAATTAGAAATACTTTCCCCTATGTTTGGCACTCTGAAGGAATCCGTCCAGGTAAAGTATTCATGTAATAAGTATTTTTCTCTTGTCATCCTTTATTTTTCTTACAGGACCGTTTTCCAGTATTTCATTATCCTTTAGAATTACATGTAATACATCTAAATAAACTCTGTTTCGACTGGCTGCCCTGTATTGACCCTCGTTTAAAAATAGATCTAGGCTGAAACACTCCTTATAACGTCAATGTGATAATGTGCAGCTAAACTGCTGTTGGCTGAATGTAAACATGCTGGTTTTTGTGACTTCACAAAAACAATTAAAATAAATTCAGAACTTTTAACAGTCTTTACATACTACATCAAACCCTTTTTTTATTTATTTATTTTTTAAAAGTAAAGATATTTAGATTTTTTTTACATCTGTTTTGACATTTTATCTCCACATTTGAAATAGGATGAATTCTGTATACATATTTTATCATTACTTCATGTTATACAGCATCTCAGTCATTTCAGAATCTTCTACAGCTCCTTTCATCATTCTGGACACATTTTTGTACGTTTCTGATTTTATCCACAGCTTCCTATTGTCCAACTAAGTGTTTTATACTTGAGAAGATGCACAGGACTTTCATATCGAAATCAGTTAATACGTTTATCTGCAAGGACATTGATTTTATTGCATTAAGAAACATGATTCCCAGACTCTTAATGTATCACAGGCATGTGTATTAGGTTCATAATTGTCTCTGGTTCATCAATTCTGTTTTCACAGTTCAACTACTGCTTTGATATTCCATGGATGGTGAAACAGTATCCTCCGGAATTTAGGTAATAGTATATGCTTATGTACTATTGGGTGTTGTTTTCCAAACACAGATTAAAGATGGTCTTGGGCTGTGATCGATTTAGGTTAGGCATGTCAAACTGGGGACCTTCTGGGCTAAAGTGCTGTGGATATTAGCAGTTACCCTCATCTAACACTCAGAATTCAGTTCGTGAAGGCCTTGCTAATTAGCTGGTGAGCTGAATTAGGTGTGTTTAATGAGGCAGTGTGCTGAAGTCTGCAGTGCTTTGGCCCATGAGGACTGGAGCCTGACACATGTGATTTAGGTGGTGATTATCTGTTGGAAAAAAACCCTGCCAGTCCATTATATTAACACCCATGTTCTGCAAACTGTCCGCAGTGATTCGCTCACTGTTCAGTCTGGACCATCTGCACGTTTGCATTTTAAATCAGCTGCTGCCTCCATGCCATGTTTGGGTATGGTGTCTTTCACAGAATATTTCTGTTTGTCAGTTGCTCCCAATGGATATCACACCCGCAGAATGCAGAGAGATTGTGTGGTTTTTGTGCCAGCTTATCAACCTCTTTTTTTCTTGAATGCATTTTAACCCAAATGCAGGCAGAACCCAGACACAGCCATAGTTCAGGGCTAAACTAGACTTATCTGTGTCTGGAAAAGAAGGGTGACGAAATTAAATAATGTTTAAAGGAATATTCCAGCATTTTTCCACCTAAACTCTAACTGCAGCATCTGTAGTGCATAGTCTGTTACCATGAACAGTATTTTCAGTTCATCTCTCTGTACTTAGTAGAGGTGGCACAATGACACTTTGAGGGTCAGCCAGTACTGGTCTGTTATTTTTTCTCTGAAAGCTACAAAAATGAGCTATTTTTAATTGAAGCACTTTACTTAGGATGAACATCTAAAAATGAGTGAATATGGTAAAAATTCTCAAACGCTACCCAACAAGAAGAAATACAGCCCTAACAACATCACATCACACGGTGTGAACGTGTGCTATTTTAGGATAGATTTGTTACAGGATTGGCTCAGATTCGGGTTTTTTTTCCCCTCTGATATTCGATCCAGCATTTTCTGCTTATATCGGCCCGATATCAAAACCAATAAGCCATCTGTAGTACTTAGCAAAGAGAAGACCTGTTAAAACACACTTATAACAGAAGCCAATGGGCAGATGTACCTATTATAAGTGCATTTTATGTCTCTGGGTTTTGTGTTCTCTCCCAAAGTACAGAGAAATGCCTCTGTGTTATTGGCTCTGGTGATTGACTGTACTATATGGATGTGACTGGTTGAGATTGGATTGAAAAATGCTGAAGTATTCCTTTAAGTGCTATTGTTCAAAGTGTTCTGTTAGTCACTGTAAAAGGGTTTTGACCTCAGCAATTTGTGCTACTATGCTTTGGTGACAAAGAAAGATGTTTTCTGTTCACAGCCTGTGGCATTTCACAGAATTTCTGTATTCTTGCTGTTCGTTTTAGAGACAAGCCCGTGACTATTGTCCATGGGGAGAAGCGAGAGTCGAAGGCTCGGTTAATTCAACAGGCTCAACCTTATAGCCACATTCGCTTCTGTCAGGTACTGAGGCTTAACTGTTCTAACTCATTTGCTTTCCTGCAAAGATCTGTCACACATTTTTTGGTATTATGTTATCACCATCGAACTCTGAAAGGTGTAATAATTCTTCTCTCCACTTGAGGGTAGTATTCAGCTTTAATTGAGCCATAATAGTTATAAATGATCAAGCTGATATGAGTTGATCTATGTTTTGTTTTGTCAAATTGAGCTTGTATCCACTTTTAACAGGCCAAGCTGGATATCGCCTTTGGCACTCATCATACGTAAGTTTCCCTTTCTCCTGCTGCAAGAACCCTAAACTAGTTAAAAAGTTCAAATGAAGCTTAAGGTGCTACAGTGCTTGCAAATTTTATATTACCAGTGCTAAATACTCAAAAAGTTTACTTACTGAGTAAAGCCATTTGCCCTCAGGACAGCTTCAGTCCTTCTTGGACTGTTTTTTATTTACCAGCTGTATCTCATTTAGATGGTTCAGGAGATGCATTGGAATACAGTGTATATTCATCCATATTTCTGTGCAAGATTGAAATTGATTTGTGGCAATTTTTAATACACAAGCCATTACATTTTTGCCACGTCCAGCTTTGCATTATATCAGCACCTGGCAGCGCAGATTAGAGCGAGAATCGTATAATCTACTTATCAAAAACATCAGGAGAGTGTTTAACCTCTGCCGTCCACGCCGGGGTCTGTTGAGCAGCCACTCGGTAGTTTCAGTGAGTACTTGTTAAACATGAACAGCGCTGAATATTAATGTACTACAATCCTAGTTTACCAGAATTCAGAGGAAGGTTTAACATGTTTTATTCAGGAACAGAGAGAGGGAGCAGGCATTGGAGATTTGAGCAGGTTCTGCTCCCTCCTCTGTGAGCTCCTATTGCCTGGCTCTTAATGAAGTAAATAAAACATTAATGCCATGATCTCTCTCGCACACCTGCGTCGAGCTGCCGAGTTCACATCTCTTCTCAGATGGATAATACCTGCGCCTCACCAGTGCATGCAGATTTATTTATAAATGTGCCAGACAGAAGTTGACAGAACTGAAAAGCTCCTAATCGAGCTTCATGTTGTTTTTGTCGCGTTTAATGTAGTTTAAAGACGAACACAATGCATGCCAGTGATAATTTGGGTATTAAATATTAAATGGCAATTGTAATGTACAAAAATGAAGGCACAGAAGCAGGAATGTTTTTTCAAATCACTTCTATCTGAATAATCTATTCCACTTCCAGGAAAATGATGCTGTTGTGGTATGAGGAGGGATTCAGAGTCATCATTCTGACATCAAACATGATCCAGGCTGACTGGTACCAGAAGACTCAAGGGTAGGACTGGTCATCGTCTCTTGTACGTGTGCGCTTGCTTGTTATAGAGTGGTAATAGCAATTAATTAGTAACGTTCTCTGTCACACTTGATGAAGCAGTTTTTTGTTGTTGTTGTTGTTGTTGTTGTGTTCTCTTTGAAGTGTTTTGTTCTCAGGTTGCATAAAAAAGGCACATCTTTCATATCTGGCGGGTTCTGCGTTTGGCGGCCCTAAACATTTTTGGTCAGTTGCCATGACAACACACCTGAGGAAATGCTTTCAGGAAATTGAAATGAAGCCGATTTATTCCAAATAGGTTTTAATAGAGGAGGACAGAGCTTTATAGACCTGAATAAATCAGTCATATTTTTAAAAAGTATGTTTAGTTTGTTAGTGAGGTAAAGGGAGTTAATAAAACTGAAAACTTTTGTTTTGTTATTATTTTTAAAGCTTCTGATTCAGGCAAAAGTATATTGACCTGTTGCAGGTCTTTGTGATGTGGAGTGCATGAAAAGGTAGCTATAGTTTTGGACCATTAATATGTTGTGCCTTTGAGTCTTCTAATGGGTCTCACAAGGGTCTGTGTGTGTGTGCACACAGATTTGTTTTGTCATATTGCAAACGCAATATGTCATCTTGTCCATATTGTATGGTCAGAGCACTAATGGCTAACCTACAGAAGGCTATTTTAGACTTGCCCTCCTGGCATATGGTGGTGAGAAGAAGAAATCTGGCAAATGTGTTTTGTTTCTTGGGTCAGTGTAAATCTCTCTGTGGAAGGTTATACTGAAAGATTACTATGTAATATTTACAATATATAATATACAATAATCTATATATAATATAGTGAGGCATGACAGAAAATAAAATAAAAAAATATTTATTAAATACTGATCTGTGTTGTAATATACATTGTGGCATCACTGAAGATGTAAACGAAATGGCAGTTCATTACACACTGACACATAAGTGTCAAATCTAATAGTAATAATTTGACTGATATTATGGTTCAAATGGTCATTAACATAAAAATTTCTTTGCTATATAATTTGTGCACACCAGGTGCTCAGCTGTGAACATGTCATGATGAACAGACGATAATAAATGGTTCAACAATACCTGACATAAAAGCTTGCTACATTAAAAAGCCCATACCCTAGTTTTTATTTTTCCCTCTGAGGTCCACTTACAGTATTTGTGCGGTTTATGTACCAAAAGCGGTCATTATTTTTACAAGGCCATTTTCCATATAATTACCAGTCCCTTAGAATTTACCAGGCTGTTTTTGTTACTGTGCCTTTAAGACTGATATGTAAATGACCTCTGAATGATTGCCCGTTCTGTTTTGTGATTCGTTTATAAAAGCAGTCCAGGCTGAAACACTCTTTACAACTTCTTTGTGAGTGGGCGGAGCTAACCTGCTGTAGGCTGAACAGACAGGTATACAGTCATATGCAAAAAAGTGACTCATTTGTTGATTTTCTAACTGCAAATAATTGAACTCATTCTCTACAGGGAAAAACTTAAATGTAACATTTTTTCTGCTAATTAAAAGTGCACTCAATTTCAATTTATTTGCTGAATTTAACGTATTGAAAAAAGTAAAACTTTTCTACAGGCCACATTTAATGTTTTATGTTTGTCCCAATATGTTAAAATTAGCAAATTAACAGTAAATATGCATTCAAGTATGCAGAAGTGTCTTCTCTGTAGAGGATGTGTACTTATTTTCATTAAAAAAATCAACCAAACTTAAAACTGCAGCATACAGTGTGTTGGTTTTCTTGGTCCATGTAGACTCTATGGACTGTGGAGTGGACAGTATGTTTAGAAACATTTAACAGTGTTTATATACTATATCTAAATCTTTTATCTTGACAAAAAAGTGAGTTTAATTTCTCTTTAACTGCATTATAAGTTAAGAACATTTGTTCCTTCTCTTGTAAAGTTACCATTTTGGAGATACAAGGTTTTATTAGAACAGAAACAATTTACAGAGGTAAAAAAAGAAGATACAAAAGAATTGTTTATGTTTTAGACATTGAAATGTTAAAGTCTGTTAGTGAAAAACTGAAAACTTTTGTTGCTATTTTTAAAGCTTCTGGTTCAGGCAAAAGTATATTCACCTGTTACAGGTCTTTGTGATGTGGAGTGCATGAAAGGGTAACCATAGTTTTGGACCAGTAATATGTTGTGCCTTTGAGTCTTCTAATGGGTTTCACAAGGGTGTGTGTGTGTGTGTGTGTGTGTGTGTGTGTGTGTGTGTGTGTGTGTGTGTGTGTGCAGATTTGTTTTGTCATATTGCAAACGCAATATATCATCCTGTCCATATTGTGTGGTCAGAGCACTAATGGCTAACCTACAGAAGGCTATTTTAGACTTGCCCTCTTGGCAAATATGTTTTGTTTCTTGTGTCAGTGTAAATCTCTCTGACAGCTGAAAGTTAAACTGAAAGATTATAACTTAATAATTGCAAATGTATAATCTGTGTATAATATACTGAGAAATAACATAAAATAAAATTAATAAAACTATTTATTAAATACTGACCTATTCTGTAATGTACATTGTATCATCACTGAAGATGTAAATGAAATGCAGTTCTTTACACATTGACACATAAGTGTCAAATCTGTATATAAATTTAATAATTTGATTAATATTACTTTTTAAATAGTTATTAACATAAAATGCTTTACTCTTTTACATAATTTGTGCACAGCAGGTGCCCAGCTGTGAACATGCCATGAATAGACGATTGTAAATGGTTCGTCAATACTTGATATAAAAGCTTATTACATTAAAGAGCCCATCTTATTGGCTGTCCTGTGTTGTGCTTCATTCAAAAAGAAGTCCAGGCCGAAACACTCTTTATAACTTCTTTGTGAGTGGGCGGAGCTAAACTGTAATATGTTAAGTTCAGCAAATTAACAACTATTATGCATTCAAGTGTGCACAAGTGTGTTCTCTGTAGAGGATGTGTGCTTATTTTCATTTTAAAATTCAACCAAACGTACAACTGCAGCATTCAGCTGTGCCAAATGTTTTGGTTTTGTTGGGTTTTCTTGACTTGACATGTAGACTTTATGGAGTGTGGAGTGGACAGTATGTTTCGAAACTTAGAACAATATTTATGAATTACATCAGACTCTTTTATCTTAAAGTGAGTTAAATTTTCCATGATATGGACTCCTTAACTTATATTAAAGTTAAGAACATCATTTCCTTCTCATGTAAAATTACCATTTTGGAGATAGAAGATTTTATTAGAACAGAAACAATATACGAAGGCAAAAAAAAAGATATAAAGAAATTTTTGTTTTAGACCAGAGGTGTCAAACTCAACCACTAAAAGGGCCATATAAAAAATCTCAACAAATCCGAGGGCCAGAGATCATTTATGTTTAAATATGCCAAAACATCAACAGCAAAATATAGCCACATGTAGTGTAACCTTCAAATATTACATGTGAATACTGGATATATTTAGGCTACATTAGCTGCAGATAACTGTTAGGTCTCTTTAAATGTACCCAGGATGTAGGTCTTTTAAACCTACCTGTGTGCTTGATCTCAATACCTGACATCTTTTCTGCTGCAAGTTCATTAATTCTTGGGATCAGTTTCTGAGCTGCTGAGTGTTTATACTGTTTATGTTGGTTGAACTGCAGCTGAAACTCAGCCGGTGTGTTTGGTGATATGACGTGTGGAATTGGGTAGAAAACTGCTGTCCCATAGATTGTTGTTGGGAGTGGGGTGTCAGCGGAAATTATGCTGCAGTGCATACTGGGGACTGTAGTGCTGCTGTTTGTGAAATGATAATAATAATAATATTAATAGGAAATCTGATCTGGCCCACGGGCTTGACACATGGGATTTAGACACTGAAACAGTTACAGTATGGTTGGTGCTGTTCAAATGGTCTGTTCAAATGGTCTGTTCAAATGGTCATCAACACAGATAAATGTAATGTACAGAGGCATAACAGAGGATATAAAAGAAATGTTTATTTATTAGACACCGAAAGACCAAAGTATCAAGTCTATTAGCAAAACATAATTAAAAATGATCACTATCGAATGGCAACGTGGTTGAGGATGCAAATTTCTTCGTCTTCTGTACTCTTATGCCTTCTATGGCCTCGGATCTCATGTGTTCAGCACGTGTTCAGCGTATGCTGCACGCCTGTTTGCCACATCTCGCTCATCTTCAAACATTACACAGAAAGACGTACAATGAATCTCATTAACGTCCTGCTGTTCCCCCATCAGGTTGCATCTGATCTCATGCGTCTTTTCATTATTCCAACCTCATCCTCTCTCTCGTTGACATTCATATAGCTGTCGGGTTCTCCCCCAGGTCCACCATAAAAGGGCTTTTCTGCTTCTTTCTTTTTAATAGCACCAATCCGAGTCCATATTGATCTGCTCTGAAAACACCCCAGGGAACGGCTATAATAAGTCTGTCAAGTCCCCATTCAGCTCCAGTCATGAGTACTTTTACTTTTCAAAATGAAATTTAGCATGCAGAGCTTTTTTTTCCCCCTTCTTTCCGATATCTCAGATGCTAAATTATGTTTATTGGAGCCTGTCCATTAACGCAGCAGCAGTGGTGATATAACCATGGAGAAGTAGCCTAATACAGACATATTGTACTTACAGACATTCAGATTCTTGAAGCTGGAATGAATCATTTTTTCAGCATGGATTGAGGAAAAATAATTAATATTTTGATTTTTAGAGCTGGAAAGAACAAAAAGCATATTCCTTACATGAAAAAAGCTTTTAAACAGAAAGAGGAGAGGAGAGGAGAGGAGAGGAGAGGAAGGAAAGCAGGGGGTGGGTATTTTATACACCCAGAAAGAGCGAGACCAATTGTGCTCTCTTGGACTTCCAGTCACGGATGACTGTAGCATCTGCATTTTTTTCTAATCCTGAAAATGAAAAATGTAATGAATGGTACTTATTGGCCGTTAAATGGAGGGTGGTCTCTGATATTTGCTCAGTGCTGACATTTTCTAAAATTCTATATACCTTATAATTCTTTATAGGCTCATGTCTCAGCTAGTTACATAAGTTGACCGTTTATATTGGGTGACATTGACAATCCGTGGTTCTATTAGTATCAGCAAAAATATTGCTTGATGTGTGGCCAGGATTCAGACTTGTCATCTCCTGACAATAGGGTGAAACTTAAGATGGTTGTGCCACTGAGGAGCCTTGAGCATGAAAATTATTACGCAATGAATTAATGAAAAATAAGGAAAATAACATTCATTTACTGTAACCAAAACATTAAAATAGTTTGAGATGCTCAACCCCCAGTGTAAGAATATTTATTTCATTTAAATGAGTTTCTACTGTTTATGAAACGAGATGACTGAGAATTGACGATCATATCTTTAATTTTAACTAAAACTATTAGAGTATAAAAGTCTTACGGCATAAATGAGTAGTGTAAAGATTTCCATATAAGGTGTATATTTATTTCTAAATGAAATCATTTAAGATGCTTACATAAAGCACTTCTTAATAAGAACTATTTTTAACAACTAAAGTAAATCTGAAATATTGTTTTTGTGCAAAGTAGTAAAAACAAAACTGAGCGATATATAGATAAACAGGTCAATATTGCTTTCTGACATTAGCCCCGCAGGCCTGGAAAAATAGTGCTAAATGTAGTTTCAGGTCTGAATTTCTGCAAGGCTGAATTTGGTTTCTTATTCTCCAGCTTTTTGTTTGAATTTTCTGTTCCACCGTAAATGGTGCAGCAGTTATGTTCTGGCACCTGTACAGGCGCATGAATGTAAATGCTGCACCATTAAAGGTGGAGCAGAGAATTTGAGTAAGAAGACAACTTCAGCTTCACTGAATTTCTCAAGTCATTTGTCTCATGTTCATCCCGCATACTCATGCTGCTGACTGTCAGACATCAGCTGGAATTCGGAAAATGTTTCACAGACAAGACCCCGAGAATGTTGCAAAGACAAGACCCTGAGACTTTAACACAGCTGATCGAGGCAGGTGGCCTCCCAGACGGTACGAGAGGAAATGTTGCGATCACTCCCTGTTAGGTGAGGCTGACCCCAAAAGACTGGCCATCCTTTATGTCCAAAAACAAAGTGGACTACTTTAAGGGCAACAGACTAGACAGCAGGAGGCGATCAAAGTTTTATTTAAAATGTGACTGAAACATCCATGACTCAGCCGCTCAGCTTAATTTGGTAACATTAGCATAGTTTGCGCTATTCGTATGATGCTTTATCTGCGCTTATTTGTGTTATACTGGTATAACTGTTATTACAAAACTCATGCTTCAGGGAGAATTTCAGCCAGTATGTCTGATGTATGCTGCCCCCTAATAATAGAAATACTGAATTATACCAACCTCTTTAATAGGCTATCAGAATTTATAGGCCTTTAAAATCAGTATCAGCCACAAAAATTTCACATTAGTCAGGCACTGGTAACAGCTGACGCTGGAGTACGATATATCAGCCAAACTGTATTTCTCCCTTACCGTTATTGCTATCAGGCACAATAGCAGCGAATATCTAAGCGACGAATAAAAAGACTGTGTTTCTCTTACAGACTCTGGATGAGTCCCCTGTACCCCAGATTACCTGAGGGAAGCCCAGAGACTGCAGGAGAGTCTCGCACCTACTTCAAACGTGATTTGCTGGAATACCTGAGGGCATATCGAGCCCCTGAGCTGGCTGAGTGGATTGAGCGCATCAAAGAACACGACCTGTCAGAAACCAGGTGAAACAAAGTTCTCTGCTTTTCAGCCTAGGTGGGCTGTGTTGAAGCAATGTCATTTTAATTGACTTTTTATTTTGTAGGATCTGCCTTATTAGATCCCACTCCAGGGGTACATAAAGTACGAGTCATTTTCAGTCATTAATTTAATTAACTCTCGTTATTTTGCAGGATCTACCTTATTGGTTCCACTCCAGGGAGGTTCCAGGGACCTGATATGGAGAAATGGGGTCACTTAAAATTGCGCAAGGTTAGAAAGTCTGCGAGAACATTAAATAATGGCAACAACCTGGAAAGATGGTAAAAAATCACATAAAATTTCCTTGACCTTGAAAAGTACTGTTTTAAATCATGTCAGTCAGTAATACAGAAAGCAAAAAATGGCACAGAACATTCGCTGTTCAACACTATCTATCACTCTACGGGTTTTGTTCAGTAATATGTCTTGTCACGACATGAGAATAGAAAATAGCCTTGAGTGTCAACCTGACCACTAAAGAAAAGAGCCATTTTCGCAGCTCCTTCACTGCCTTGAGGCTTCATGTGGGCTCTCTGTGCCTGCTTTATTATGTAAAAAAATGTAATATTTAATGATGCTTTGCTTTTGAAGATTTCAAGGAATAGTGGCCTTTTATGACTTCATCTGATGTCTCACTTTATGCAAATTTAACATATGGTGTGAATATAATATGTACCAACCTTATTGGTGAGATATTAGCCCAGTACAGATGTTATATGTGCGTTCATTTGTTTCAGCTTTTCATTTTGTCGTGGAAACAAGCTCACAGCACCTGTTGTCAAGACTACATGCATATCACTGCTGTCGGGACAAAACCTTGTATCTCCATGTCATTTTTAATTTTTTGACCTAGTTTGAAAAAGGCAGTTGCCCTTTACGTTGTGTTAAAATTTTATGATGAACAGACCAACATAAATTGTCTAAAATTACTTGGAAAACCGTGTTTCTCCATTTACTTCCATTAAAGGTAAGATCATTTTTCCTTGTCCTGTAAAGTTACCTTTTTGGAGATACAAGGTTTTGTTCCGATAGCAGCGATATGTAGCTGTGGACTCTCTTTTCTTCAGTGTACACAGTGCGAAACAGATTTGCCTCTGTTTATAAGATGATGTCAAAAAAAAAATGCAGAAACACTTTAGATGCTTTGTAGATACTTAACTTACCTTTAACTTATATACATACATACATCATCTAAACCGCTTATCCTTCTGGGTCGCGGTAGGGTGCTGGAGCCTATCCCAGCTGTCATTGGGCGGAAGGCAGGATACACCCTGGACAGGTCGCCAGTCCATCACAGGGCAGACAGACAGACAGACATATAAATTCACACACTCACTCACACCTAGGGGCAATTTTAGCATGTCCAATTGGCCTGGAAACCGGAGTACCCGGAGGAAACACACGCAGACACGGGGAGAACGCGCAAACTCCACACAGAAATGACCCTGGTCACCCAGCCGGGAATCGAACCCAGACCATTCTTGTTGTGAGGCGACAGCGCTACCCACTGTGTCACCCACCTTTAACTTATGTTCAACTAAATATTTTAAGTTCAGCTTAATTTTCCCTAACCCTAACCATAAACCTGAACCTGATTCTAACCTTAACTCTAAACCTGGACCTGTGTTTTCATTTCATTTTAACTTAACATTTTGCGATGTTGGGCCATTGTTATGCCAAAATATGCCAAAACTGCAACAGCATAATAAGCATTGAATACTTATTCAAAAATAATTCTAAATAAAATGAATTGTTTTTTTAACTGCCTTTTTGCTTGAACTTGACGCTTGACATCTTGTCTTATTGTTGGCCCATAGATTGTTGGAGAAAGGGGGTCAGAATGCACACTACGTTGCAGTGCATGCTGGGGACTGTAGTGAATCTCAGGGTGAAACGAACTAATGTCACGGGCCAAATAGAACTGTGTCATGGGCCTGACTTGGCCCGCTACTTGGGCCTTGTGTTTGACACATGGGATCTAAAGGAAGCTGTAGTGTACTATCCAAATAAAGTGAGAGAGAGTTTTCTAAGTTACATTAACAGAAATGTAATATTAATGGCAGGAATTAAAAGTGTATGCTATTTCTTTATCCTTTATTTCCTTATGCCAAGTGATGCTATGTAGACAAATATTTGGCTAGTAACCAATCATTAGTCTGTTCCATGCAAGCAAAGTGAAGAAATTTGGCTGGGTTGTTAGTCTGTCTGTATAACTCAGGCAAAGCTATAAAGTGTCCTTTAGTTTATGAGAAACTGAATCTGGCTCAGCAGGAACTCTACAATATCTCCTTTCTGACATTTTGTCTTTTGCTTCATGTTCAAAACACAGCACACCATTTATTCCATTCATGTATCTGGTCTCTAACTCTCTGTGCTTAAGAAGCACATGGGGATAGTGGTGAACGGTTGGTCAGTTCTCAAGTTCAGTCTGTGTAGGTGTTGATGCTTGATCAGTGGCAAGAGAACATATGAATTGGTGACTATAATTACTCAGGGGACATGCATTCGATTTGCATATCTGATTATACATTACATACGCAAACGTGTAGGCTCTTGTTTATCCCCTGTTTCTTCTGAAATCCAGGGTTTTAATAGGGAATTGGTTCCATTTTGCTGCAGTAACAGCATCTACTTTAGATTAGATGTTGGACCATTGCTGTGAAGATTTGATTGCCACAAGAGCATTAGTGAGGTCAGGTACTGATGTTGGATGATTAGTTCTGAGATCACTCCAGCTCATCCTAAAGGAATTGGATGGAGCTCCATCTCCAGATAACACAGTTCCACTGCTACACAGCCCAATGTATCTTTGGTGTCTTTATACACCTGTAGCTGATGGTTAGGCCTGGTGACCTTCAGCGTGCTGCTGCTCCACAGTGTCCCATTCTATTGGTTGGTGCTTTTCTATAGAGATTATACAAGTGTATGCAGTTGAGCGGCTAGGTCAGCAATCGATGCAAATCACAGTAGTTAAATTCAATAATTAGAGGGGCTATATTGACCCTGTCCACTCCTGATGGATGGTGCATTTAATTTGCTTACTAATGTTAGTCATATTTTGAGTTTGCATGACTGCCAGTGGCTTGTGCTTGAAATGATCTCCATTTTTTTACTCTTTGCCTTCAGCTGCTGAGTGAACACACATGCCCAGTACAGAATGCAGAACAGTGGCCAGTGATTGGTCAGTTCTCCAGTATTGGCTCTATGGGCCTTGATAAGACCAAATGGCTCGCAGCAGAGTTTCAGCGAACACTGACGACGCTGGGGAAGGCTAGCTCATCATCCAGTCCAGGCACGCCAGTGCTCCTGGTAAGTATTTCAAAATAACTCAGCAAAGCACATGTTTCTGCCTTATTCTCACTTCATTATAGAGCGCATGCCTGGAGAGGTGTTAGGATAAACGCAGAACATTTCCCCTCTAACCTTATCTGTCCGTTAGGATGAATGAACACTTGGTTGTCTCTGTTGGTTTAATGAGAGCCAAATGAGGTAGCCTGAATCTGCGCCTCAGGCAACTTCTGTTTTCCTGGAATTCCAATGAGCAAGGATATATAGGGTTGTTCAGACTGTGTTGTATATGGTTCTATACATAACCTTTTTTTGAAAAGGGTTCTATACAGCACGGTATAATGCACTGACATCCAGTCACCTACTTGTTACTATGCACAGATTGTTATCCAGTTACGCTGGTTATTGTTGTTTACAGTCTCTCTATTATTCTGCTATCTAAATCAGTCTATTTTAAGATAACAATAACATATAATTGCCCACCCTTGCTACATGGTCTCCCTGCGACCCAGCAGGATGAGCGGCTTAGAAAATGTATGTGTTTGTGTGTGCTACGTGGCCTGCATGCCAGAGTCTGTGTGTTCTCCTCCAAGAGAATCAATTTAGCTTTTCACGGGAAAGAAACCTGCTTAATTGATAATTGGCTGCAGCTAAATGGAGTTGGCAGCAAAATCATAACCAAACCACAGAAATAATCTTGTAGTCATGGAAAACTTTTCATTTATGTAAGTGTCTTTTCAAATGTAAGGTCAGAGATTGATTTTTCTTGATGGATCTTGTTAAATGTCAGTGGTAACAGTACGGCACCCCACTGAGCCTGCGCTGGAGAAAGTGATGGCAGATAGTGTCATCCAGCCTCAAATGGCACCGTGTTATTATGCACTTCTGATTGGAATGAATGTCATTGTTGAGAATTCAAAGCACTCGCCTTTCACAGGACACCCCTTCAGTGCAGGCATTATTGAGAGACTAGATTTTCTTTCTTTAATCACCAAATACTCAACCCACACGAGGAAAAGGCTGCTGTGTCTTAAAGTTTGATGGTGTGAATAGTGATAATTCATAGTGTTTTTTTTTTCTTGAGGTCTATCCTTCGGTGGACAACGTTAGAACCAGCTTAGAAGGTTACCCAGGTACCATTTCACTTACCGTCTTTAAATAAAATTAGCATTTTATGTTTGTTTTCTTTTGTTTGTAGATGTGGGAGAAATTTTACCAGGGAATCATTTGTCTTTTAATCTTGTTAAAGCAGTAATCAATGCTTTATTTTCTCCATTACTCTAGTTTTAGTATTTTTCCACTGATTCAAAAGTTTTATTATTGACATATAACGTTCAGTACTTCATATGCTCTATATAAAAAGCCCCTGTTGCCAAATTCAAATACCTAAAACAAGATTAAAAATGAAAGAGGCTTTATCATTTATTAAATGACCTTTTTCATGGTGTTCCTGCAGCTGGAGGCTCCTTACCCTACAGTATACAGACAGCACAGAAGCAGCTCTGGCTCCATTCATACTTCCAGTGAGTTCTTCACGTTGACACTTCTCTTTTACTTCTTTCCACGTGACATAATCTTCAATGATATTGGATGTCAGTGTTACTCTGTGTCCTTGTCTGAGGATTTTCGTTATGAATATTTCTCTGTGGAGCTCTTAGAAGTGCTTCTAACTCAAACCTCTCCGCAGCTGCTAAGAGCCTCTCTGAAGAGCTGTCCAATTCTATAAATGTCTTCTTGGGGAAATTCAAAGAGGGTCTATATTTCCACTGTCCCACTATCATGTAATTGACCAGTGAGTGTGAATGGGGTATTTATAGCCGGCCTCTTCTTCCAATCCAGAACGGAAATGCCCTGACAGTGACTAGGCTCCATCTTAATATCTTTCCTGATCTCTGTGCTTTTATTGTCATCTTGTAGAGAGTAGAGACCAACTGGTATGTCAGGTAAACAAAAATATCTGCCAACATTGATCATGGATGTTTTTATCACTGTATGTAAAAATATCAAAGATAAGAGTGTGTGTGTGTGTGTGTGTGTATATATATGTTTGTGTATATATATATATATATATATATATATATATATATATATATATATATATATATATATATACATTGATCGGGCATAACATTATGACCACCTCCTTGTTTCTACACTCATTGTCCATTTTATCAGCTCCACTTACTATATAGGTGCACTTTGTAGTTCTACAATTACAGACTGTAGTCCGTCTGTTTCTCTGCATACTTTGATACTTTGTTAGCCCCCTTTTACCCTGTTCTTCAGTGGTCAGGACCCCCATGGACCCTCACAGAGCAGGTACTATTTGGGTGGTGGATCATTCTCAGCACTGCAGTAACACTGACATGGTGGTGGTGTGTTAGAGTGTGTTGTGCTGGTCTGAGTGGATCAGACACAGCAGTGCTGCTGGAGTTTTTAAACACTGTGTCCACTCACTGTCCACTCTATTAGACACACCTACCTTGTCAGCCCACCGTGTAGATGTAAAGTCAGAGACGATAGCTCATCTGCTGCTGCACAGTTTGTGTTGGTCATCCTTTAGTCCTTCATCAGTGGTCACAGGACACTGCCCACAGGACGCTGTAGGCTGGAGAATGATCCACCACCCAAATAGTACCTGCTCTGTGAGGGTCCATGGGGGTCCTGACCACTGAAGAACAGGGTAAAAGGGGGCTAACAAAGTATCAAAGTATGCAGAGAAACAGACGGACTACAGTCTGTAATTGTAGAACTACAAAGTGCACCTATATAGTAAGTGGAGCTGATAAAATGGACAATGAGCGTAGAAACAAGGAGGTGGTCATAATGTTATGCCTGATCAGGGTGTGTGTGTGTGTGCGTATATGTGTGTGTGTGTGTGTGTGTGTGTGTGTATGTATGTATGTATATATATATATATATATATATATATATATATATATATATATATATTTATACCACAGCAATGTTGACTGAGCAAATTAATTCAAATCTAACCCTAACCATGAGAATTACATTTTTTATTGAAGAGAACATACAAGGTAATTAACAGAAACCAAACCACAAAGAAAATAATTCTGGGTAGCTCCACCCCCAGGACTACAATATTAATATTATTTAAAAATGTATGCTGTTTATGCTGACAGCCATATCTGTCCATAAAGCACTGTTTAACTAAGGGCCCATCCACACATATCCAGTTATTTTTTAAACATAGTTTTTGGCCTTATGTTTGGCCTTCTGGGAATTTTATGTGACTGAAAACCATGTTTTTTTGAAAACACTGCAGTTGGAGATTTTTGAAAACTCTATTAACTTGCACATTTCATTTACTGAGCATACAGAACTCTGCCTGAAAGCTGACTCACGAGCTATTTCCATGCAACCAAAGCAGTTTGAGGGCGGATAATATGTCTACAACTGAATTTAGCTACACCTTTTCATTTTACCGTTGTGCAGTGGATGACAGAATGTACTGCACTCAGTTCTTTTAATGAGGTATCGACTCATTTTCAAATCTGTAAAAAATCTCAATGACTCGAAAGATATGTGACTTGACCATTAGTTGAGATGTGAAGAAAAAAATCCTACCTGCATAATTCAGATGGAGTGAAAAGCTGGCAAAACTCCACTTCTGTACAATTATCAGAGCTTTTAATTTGGTATCAACTAGGGCTAAAGATTAATTGGTTTTATATTGAAATCGCAGTATAGTAAAATAGTAAAATTTTCAAATCACAAGAGCTGCAATTTTTATTATAGCATATAACAACATCGTAGTCTTATGTTTTAAGTGGAGAAGTTTAACCTGATAACTTAGAGCTTGTAAACTGCCTGTATAAAGGCGTCAAAAGCAACGAAACACTGATGTGCTGTGACATCACAACCACAACCAAATGACAGTCTGGTGCACTGTTGAGTCTCCTTGGCCTCAAACAAAAGGGCGGGATCTCAGTTCATAGAAAATACTCACAATTTAAGCTGCAGTTACAATATTGGTCAGAAATATTTTACCCAAATCTAGCAGTTGGTGCTATTTATTGATGTATAGCAACCTTCTGCTTTTCTCGGGTGACACTTGCACTTGCAGTCTATCAGTCAGTCAGTCTATCAGTCAGTCAGTCAGTCAGTACGAGACATCAAGGCAGCCCATCAAAAATAGAGCTGACAACAGTTGATTGGAGCTGACGGTGATGCACAGTGACAGGGACACTAAGGCTTTGTTCACACAGCAGGTAAAAGTGGCCCAAATCTGATTTTCTCACCAAATCCAAAGCTTCACGTTGCTTCACGTGGCTCATCCAGAGGTAAACAAAAACGACGGCCAACGATCGCCAGTTGCTCCCAAAGGGTTCAGTTGCACCTTCACCAGCATCACAGGAGCCATCATGAAGCTTCATTGACTGACAGCTGGGCTCATCACCCAGTGATGTGTGTAAAAAGGGTGCATTATTCGGCCACTGTCACTACTTTGTTTTGTGTCCTTTAAGACTTTTAACCATTCTTTGACGCTCCAGCCTCGTTCTCCTACGGCCGTATTCCGCCATTTCATTCGAAATCCCTTCGAACACGGAGGGTTTTGGATAAGTCTCTTCTAATTTTGTACCAAAATATCACCCTAAATGTTTCTTAGGTCTCAGCAGTGCGAAATTATGACTAATGTCGAGTTGGATTGCCGTAAAAGTTTCATGAATTCCGATCTGGCTGTTCAGTCACATTGCCGCATATCATATCACATATGAAGAAAAAGATCGGATTTGGGCCACTTTTACCTACTGTGTAAACATAGCCTAACACTCACTGAAAACTGACTACTTGTTTCAGGGCCCTTAGTGTTGTTGTGTTTTTTTTTTGTTTTTTTTCTTCAATATATTTGATTGATAACGAGCAATATATCAGGATAAACTGTTTGATCTCAGTTTTTTTAATTCTGTTTTGTATATTTTACTTATGCTGTCCATTCAGTTACATTTCTAATACAGTTCCGTTTGGTATAATTTTAAGAGGCAAAATGTTTCAGCCTTAGTATCGATATCTGCCACAAAACTGTTCTTATCTTTAAGAATATTTCTTCAAACTACCTACTACATACTTGTGTCTTTCTCAGTCTCTGACTTTCTCACGAACACCCTTTGTCTCTCTCTCTCTCTCTCTCTTTGTCTCTGTTTCTGACTGTCCAATCTACTGATGTCCCTGTTGACCTTTCTCTCTCTCTCGCTCTTGTCTGTATCTCCTCTCTCTCTCTGTATCTCCCCTCTCTCGTCTGTATCTCCTCTCTCTCTCTCTCTCTCTCTCTCTCTCTCTCTCTCTCTCTCTGTCTCTCTCTCTCTCTGTATCTCCCCTCTCTCGTCTGTATCTCCTCTCTCTCTCTCTCTCTCTCTTTCTCTCTCTCGTCTGTATCTCCCCTCTCTCTCTCTGACTGTCCAATCTATTATTGTTTCTGCTGACCCCCTGAGAACAGTCGCTGGAAGGCTGAGGTGTCAGGCAGAAGCAGTGCCATGCCCCACATCAAGACCTACATGAGGGCCTCTCCGGACTTCTCTCAGCTGGCCTGGTTTCTCGTTACAAGGTTAGAGACAGCCGGAGCGTGATTCCTGCTCACTCAATCTCTGATGTTGAACTGAAGGTGTGAAATCAGACCAGTCATTTTAGAATTTGCTGTCTGTAATCATTTTCTCGCTGGGATTGAACCAATATGTATGAGATGCTTTATGAAACAGCACTTGCTGTAGTGGAGCACGCTCTAAAACGAAAGCAGGTCTGTTGGTTGTTATCCTGCCCAAACCAATGTTCTGACACTGCTTGTAGCCTCACCATCCCTAGAGAAATACTTTGACACCCACTCTCTCGCTCTTGACAGACGGCTTTTTTTCTCTAAAATCTCTAAGCTGTGCCGGGTATTGGTATTGTTCTATCACGAGGATTCCTCTAGGACCCGGGCTGACCCCTCTGCACACATTTACCAAACATAATTCAGACCTGTGTTTAGTTAAGCTTCGGTCGCCCTAATTTCACTGGCCATTTCCTAACTGTTTTCCTAACTGTTTTTACAGTCCTTGTATTTGTGGTTTTTCAGGTTATATTGAGTGAATGTTTGTCAGTTCAGCCCTGTGGACTCTGGACCAGGAATGGGTTTTGTGCTAACCTGCTTTTTGTAGGTCATCACAGTGCTTCAGTATGATTGCGGCTGTAAAGACTAGTTGTAGTACTTAAGTGGAGTGAACGAGTGCCCGGTGGACTGTAAAACACAATGAAGCATTAAAAGAGAGCACTCTTCTCTTTTGATTATCTTTCAAATTAAGCCTCAGAGTCTGCTATTGAAAGCTGTTTGAAACAGGTACACGTTTGCACTTCTTAAAGTCTGACTTCTGTTTGTGTTTTAGGGCTGGGCAACACATTGTCTATACTGTTATATACTGTGATATTGACATAGCATGATTTTGCTGCCACATACAAAGTAAAGGATATCGTGCCCCTTAGAATTAAGGTTCTCTCTGTTATCTGAGCAGTGTTGAGATATTGAGCTTCAAAGATTTTGGATTCCAAATAGCAAAACTGACATGTGAAAAGAAGTCTCTTTATACATGAAAATGACGGACACCCTGAATGTATTCTAAATGTACAGTATCATATGAAATTTGTAAATTAGATTTTTTGCTTGAATGCAGAAGAACCTTCTAATCTTCAGAACTCACTTTCAGCTTGGAATTATAAGGTTCTATCTGGCAAAACATGAAAAGAAACAATGATTTCCAAGGAACACAAACAGTTTACTTATAATTCATTTTGAAACATAGTGTTGTAACAGAGTGTCTAAATGTGTCAGAGTTAAATTTAATGCTTTAATTAAAAATTTAATGACATTCATTTCTTGTTTTAGGACAAATCATCCTATTTTTATTCAAAAAAGCATTGCAGATTAAGTACAAAGGTCAGTATTAAATATTTTGTCCAGTGCAGAGGTCAGTTTTAGGTTGGAACCATTAGTTTATCTCCTTTAGTTAGACAGCAACCAGTTACTGTAATAAACTGTCACAGCAAGTAAGTGTAGCAGGTCAGTCTAAAGGCAGTGTGAGGTTCTGTTTTGTATCAGAAATGTGACTCTATTGCAACAAAATGTCTTATTTTGGGAGAAAGAAGAAAAGGAAAAGATGGATAAATGAATGAAATTAATGTTTATGTTGTAGTTAAAAACCCATCAGTTTTGTCAAAAATGTCAGACAGAACCTTATAATTCCAAGGGGACGATGTTTTATATAAATGTTTTACAAAGTTGAAATGGCTATGTTTAAAATATCAATTCCTAGTGATAAAACAAGAATTCCAATTGAAGTTATTTTACTTATTAGGTTTGTTATCATAAGAGCCATAATGTATTTCAATTAATGCACTTTTGCTTTCTTCCAGTACTTATTAGCCTTGGGCTAGCATTGGGAGGGTATTAGAGTGACATTTAATGGCGTATAGCGCCAGCTGCCACTTTTTTTGGATGACACTTGCGCATGTGCATTTCAACAATGGTGATCAGTCAGGAACTCATCGAGGCGGCCCATCAAAAATAGCCCTGGCGTCAGCCAACTGGAACTGACCGTGCAGGACAAACTGCACAGTGCTTACTGAAAAGTGACTTCCTGTTTCAGTGCCCTTAAGGATTTATTTATTTTTTATTTATTTATTTATTTATTTTGCAACATATTTGATAGATTACGAGCATTATATCATGACAAACGATTTAATTAAAGTATTTTAATTCTGTTTTGTGTATTTTAACCATGCTGGCCGTTAGGTTACGTTTCTGATACAGTTCCATTTGGAGTCATTTTAAGGGAAGAAAACAGGCAAAACATGCCATGTCAGTTTTGTAAGACAATCTTTTAGCATAGAACAGAAGTACTTCGGAAGAATGAGGTAAAAACTTTATTAATGCTAACTGAAATATCATCAGATACCGTGATATTGTGACATAATGGAAAATATTGCGATATTGAATTCTATCAATACCGCCCAGCACTCATGTGTAACTTTGTTTGACACGTCTGAAATATCTCCCAGATAAAAGTATGCCATTTTGTAGTTCTGCTAGAGAATGCCGCTGTGCGGATTCCGGCCCTAGCCAGCCTGAATGGTCAGCGCCCTGCGGCTCTGTCTGAAGAGTGACAGTTTTAATCATGGTAAATTTACACTGAGAAGTGGAGAGGATTTTGAGCTGCGTCTGCAGGTCCGTCGCGCCAAGCCCAGCTGAGTTATTCATTCTCTTTCATGAAGATTAAAGCCTGCAGGAGACGTGAGGTGCCTTTGCCACAGCCTGCCATGTTTGTGCCTTTTCTAATCCCAGCTCGGTCTCCAATGGAGAAACCCTGACCGTGGGAAACTAAACATCGTTTTTGCTCTGTCATGATTAAAATTTCAAAGCATTTGTAATGTTATTGATCATATTAAAGAAGGAAAAAGATTAGAGAAGGAAGGGGAAGCCTGGGTTGAATCTAGAGTTTAATTTGCAATTTGTTTTGACATGAATATGCAGCTTATCATGCATGTTTAATGCAGTCTGATGCAAAAATTTGGACACTTTTTAGGTTAAATGACATTTTGTTGATTTTCTAAGTTAAAATAAGTTAACACATCATCTACAACTTCAACTGGCCTTTTTTATCCAAATTTCAGTGCACAACTTCTATATGTTTGCTGAGGTTAACAAACTGGGGGAAAAAGTAATATATATATATATATAACTTCTGCAGATAACTTCGTTGTATTTATTCTTTTTTCAGCATATTAATTTCAGCAAATTGACAGTAATTATTTATAGAAAGGTGCAGAATTGTGTTTTTCTGTGGAGGATGTGTTCATTTAATTTTAAATTTCAAATAAAAAAAAAGTCTAATTTGACCGAGTTGAACAATTATAATCATATTTGCATGATTACTGTTAGATAATAATTCTAGGTTATTACCATTACCACTTTTTATATCTTCACATCACAGACGTAACATTTTACAACAGAATTTTATAACTTTTTTTTTTTTTGGTCTGTCTTTTACAGTGATCCTTTTTAAGACAAATTCCGACTGAAGTAGCTAAAAATTGAACGCTTAAATAAAGTTTAAAGATTAAAAATATTAAACTGAATCTCTGCATATGTGATCCACAGTGCCAATTTGTCCAAGGCTGCCTGGGGTGCACTGGAGAAAAATAACACTCAGATGATGGTTCGTTCCTATGAGCTGGGAGTTCTCTACCTGCCCTCAGCCTTTGTAAGTATCCTCACAAAAAAAAGGATTCTGGCAGATATGAATATCATTATTTAAAACGTGACGTAAAGCTGTCTGAGTGTGCCTCGGTTTTTCTGTCCCAAAGAAAATTACGAAATCAGTCATACAGATGAGCACCCTCCGACGACAGCACCTTTTCGAGGAGCTCATTGGAGAGCTAAGAGATGTTCCTTCACTGTTTCTGAGTATAGTAACAGCCCCCGACTACATAATAACGCATACTTCAGATCACTCTTAGAATGTAAATGTGGTATAGTGTATACCGTGCCATACAGCGCATTCCTGTTTGTTTTTCTTCAGTATGAGGAGAGAAAGCTTTTGTTCGGTCCTCACATACTCACAGGGTAATTTGTCCTTGTTGAATTACTTCAAAAGTTGCTAAGCAACAGTCTGGTTCAGTTCACTAGCTGTGGTAAAAAGGGAGAACCATGATTTTGAAAGGATCGGGATAGGGTGTGCTGCTTTATTGAAAAAAGATGTGCTGTGTTTCAATAATCATAATGTTGTACATTGCATAATAACATTGTTGCTTCCTTCCTGATGCATTTACTCAACTGCTGTAAACACCCCAGCAATCTAGATTTATGAGTCATCTGAATCATTTGCAGTAAATTGGTTGAACAGTTTTCATATTTGGATAATTAGTTTCGATGAATGATTCGAAGTTATTACCATCCTTTTTTTTTGTAGTCTTTTCACATCCAAATCCAAATGGCTTTTAACACATGAAATATGCCAGAATTAACATTAGAAAATGAAATTATATCTGCTTTCGTTGGGCTACAATGCCAGTCTATCTCTCTCTCTTTAACATTTGTTGCAGTTGTGCCTTAATTAAACTCTTACCTTTTGAAGAAAATCGTAGGCCACACAGGCTGAACTAACAATGTCTCTACTGTTCTCTTAATTAAGGCCTCATATTTGGTCCAATTCTGAAGTGCCATTTGCTTTGCAATCAGTAGCTGTGGCCCTATTCGGGTAAGATCACGTCTATGTAATTATACAGCATTGCCGTGTACCACCTGGAGCCCACGCAGTCATAGCTGTAAGACTCAGAGTCTGGGTCACATTTCACCAGCTCTATTACTTCTGTTTGGACTTCACATCAACTTTAAACATCTTTTATAATGACTTTGGCTGTAACTACCAATTAAATTCATAACTGGATAATGAAAAGATTATTTTGATGATTGAGTAATCAGAGAAAAGGCTGTTTGTTTTGATGATTGCGTAATCAGAGAAAAGATTAAAAACAATAAAATAACAATAATAACAATAAACAATAAAAATTCACTTCAGTGAACAATAATAAACCATGCATAGCCTTTCAGAGGTTCTAAAATACTAAAACTATGAACTAGGAATACACTAGGAACCTTTACAGTGATTGCATTTAAAGAAATAAAGTCTATAAAACACTACTTGGCAAAAAGGGTATATAAAAGGGTGTCCATGACGTGTTTTTTCTTACTGTAAGAGAGACCAGTAGAACTAAAATATGCATTATTATGAAAATTGCCATCTAATCAAATGTTAATCAGTATTTTTTAAATCAAGTAATTGCATGAGCCCTATTTTTAACCCAAAGCTGTTAAATCCACAGCTTCCGTTCATGAGTTGCGATTCATGAGTGATGCAAGGGTTTCTTTCATCAGCGTGTACCATGCTGAGAGAGAAAACCAGGAGAGTGGCAGCAGCATCAGACGGAAGCAGCTTGAGCTCAAACACAATAAATCACTCAATTAGGAACTTACCCCAATGCTCTGGCTTACATAAACCAGCATGGTTTGTGCTTGACCACCCATTGCAACCTCCTCCTGCTTTAGTGCCGGCACTCTCCGACAATTTGTCTGCATTAACTTGCATGACTTTGAGAGACAGAATGATGTTACAAACTTTTTTGAAGGTGAAAAGTATCTGCTGAAAAATAAGTGAACAATACCTAGAAAGGCTGGAATACTTTGTATAAGAGTACAGAAGAGCGATGGTAGAAACGAGCGAGACCATCTCAGATGTTTCAGTTCTTTTGGAACCTTTGTGTCTGAGGCAGAAGTTTTGAAATGCACATTCTCTGAGTCATCATGTACACTCCAGTCAGAAATAACTTGCGCCTCTGCTGCTTCTGAATACAATGATACTGACTAAATGGGTCTTATTCTTGTGTATAAATAACACAGTCCTGAAGGAAATTAAAGCTGTAAAAAGGAAATTCACATTTTTTATCAGTACCAAATGGGAGAGAGAAAGAGAAAGAGAATGAGAGAGACATTCATTGTTTAACTTTTCACATCACAACCCCACTATAGTTTCACTTTTTTAGAATTTTGAACAGGTGAATGCTGTGAATAAATAAGCTAAGCTTATTAGAATAGATTTTTTTTTACGTCCATACACATTAAACTTATGAAGAAGCTCTATTTTATGCAAAGAACGTATGCATATTTCGTGCCAAGGAGTGACATTTTGTTTTGCTTTGAACTGAAGTCAGTTTACAGCAAATATATAAGCATTCCAGAGGTCATTAGTCCACGAGACGTCAGATCATGTGCAGATTTCGGATTTGAATCGGACCGGAGCAGTACGGGATGGGAATCAACGCCACGTTGCGTTGCATTAGGGGATTGTTACTTACTGGCAAAATGTATCCCAGATTTTCTAAATGGACTGTAGTAGCAAACATGTCCAGTAATACTTTATTTGGAGTGGTCCTTTGTAGATGATTAATAAACTCTTAACAGAGTATCAGTAACACATCAACAACACATCAGTGAAGTAGCAGTAGTGAAACCTCTGAATACACTGAAGTAAATATCTTGTAGATGTTCTGTTAATACATTACTTATATTAAGTTGATGTATTGTTAATGTTACTTCCATTAGGCATAACCTAATCCTAACCCTCACCTTAACTTCAACCCAACCCTCGTAGGTTTTTGACATGTTACTGTCCATTAAGTGTTTGTTTCATCTAAAAGGACCATTCAAAATAGTGTCACCACATTTCCACTCCGGATTTCCCACTCCTCGCTTGCTCCCCGCTCACACATCGGAGAAAACCCTTGGTATGATTCATTCTTGTGATATTTATATTATGTCTTGAATGTGTAGACAAGACACTACGCACATCATTTCATCAGTTTTTTAATGTATTACCATTATTAAACGATCTGTGCTGCACAAATCTTTTTTCGTTAGGTATAAATTTGAAACAATCTCCTAATCACAAAAACTGCAGAGGATGAACAAATACATCTGCTTTCTTTATAATTTGCACAGCAAAATTGATGACAAATTATGTATCATTTATGTAGAACCTTGTTGTGATTGGTGAAAATTTCCAGTATAGGTCTGCTGAACAGTTCTGCAGCACAGACGCTGTGTGTAAATACCTAGGAAGTCTAGAATACTTTATATAAGAATACAGAGAAGTGATGGTAGAAACGAACGAGAACGTCTCAGAAGTTTCAGTTATTTTGTGTGAACAATTTTTTATTTTCAATACTAAACAGAAACAAAATGTACAATGACAACACAGATACAAATAAATGCTTTCCCCCCTCAGTTCCCTTCCTCCACCCCCAATCTCCCATCCGCACACCCCCAGTTGAAAACCGGCACAATTAACACAGAAACAAAAGATAAACACCATAAATCTACAATAGCTTAGTATATGCGTCCATATACATAGACACATGCACTTGTATTCATGCATACCCTTTCTGACACATTTAAAAAATAATAATAATTTAGTAAATAAATAATGAAATAAAAAATAACTAAACTAAATAAATACATTTTGCTGGAGCTAACAGAGTGAAAACAAACTGAATAATCTGCTGTCCTGTCTTTGCGTGCATTACAGTATAAGTTACTCTATATCCCTAATTTACCATTTTCGAACCCTTTACTCATACATTAAGTAATTCAGTAATGTTATTAGCCAGATTTTCCCATGTTTGGATTGTTGGAGCCTTAGCATTGTGAATTCTAGCAGTAGAAAGCTCCATCATAACTATATCGTGAAAATAAAATAACCACTTTCTACTATGTAACATGTAAGGGGGCATCCAACGCTGAACTATCAGTTTTTTTGCTGCGGTCAAACCAGCAAACATAATTTTCCTCTGTTTCTCATTGAGCTGTAGTTGTGAATCGTCATTAAGAAGCAATAAAATTGGTTGAAAGGGGAATGTCCTTTCCTATAAGTTTAGAAAGTATAGATGTCACCCTCTTCCAAAATGAATAGACCCCTGGACAGTCCCAAACCATATGTTTCAAAGAACCAGGTACCCCTAAAGAGAGAAGTTTCAATTATTTTGGAATAGTGTCTGAAGCAGGAGCTTTGAAATGCACATTCCCTGTGTCATCATGTACACTACATGAGTGGGCTGTCAGTGTGAGTATAAAGGACTGGCTCGTGGGACGGAGTGGTATTATAATGGTTTCAGAAAGACAACGCCGACATTCTGAAATGCCATACGGTGGGAGAGTTTAAAGATTGCTGTTTTCTCAGATTTGGCATGCATAAATGTATCATAACCAACTTCAGAGGAATGCTAAACAATATTATATGAATAAAATTAGCCTCATTGATGGTGTGGATTCATGAAAAGCGGAGCAGTGATGTGAATAAGCTTCCTCCACTGCCATTTACATTTTCCTAGCTGGTGTGTAGCTTAAGTGCTTGTTCTGTAATTAACCTAATTTTTTCATGTCATTTGAGCCCCACATACAGTTTACAAATGGGTGTTTTGCTCAGGCTTAACTCAGTTACTGCCGTATTTCACTTGGCAAGTGGCATATTTCTCTCACTTGTCGCATATTTTACTCAGGAACAGGCATATTTCACAGTATGTAGCCTTTTAGCAAGCACTGCTAGCCTACATAGTCAGCTAACTAATGACAGTATTACTGCACTGTACTATATTAAGTCACACAAAAATCCACAGTAGATCACATGTGGCTTAAAGTTTGCACCAAATGGTTGAACAGTCTATCTAAAGCCTTGAAGACAAACATAAAAGCTAACAGCTAAGCCCACGTTACTAACCTAGCCGCATCATACCTCAAATTCATACCGTTTAGTCGGAACACAGCAAGTTTGTGAAAGGTTAGCTATCTGATGCCTGATCTTTATCGCCACTTTCAGTGCATTGCTTCATATATGCTGTTTGACTAGGGCTGCGTCTAAATAATTGAAGGAACTTTCCTTTCCTATCTGCTTTATTCGATTTTGCTCAGATCTTTTGATCTGATAACCATGTAGATCCACATATTAGTCAACTCTGTAAACATGTGACACCACAAGACAGATCAGTCAAAATCAAGGAAAGCATTCAGGAAAGGGAGATTCAATCAACTATTCAGAATCAGCTAACCCTGCCACAATGGTGGATCACCCATGAGACATTGCATCATGACATCACATACCAAAGGCCTGTAGAGTCATTTTGCTCAAGCGGTTACAATTGGACATCACTGCATTAAAGAAATAGTTAAATTTAAGCAATTTCGCCCTGATCCCAAGTGCAGACGAGTTATTTGGCTGTAGACGTGCTTATTTGGTTTCTGACACTGTATGACAAACTAGTCTATATATACATGAACGAAAGTATGTTGCGTAGTTAAAATGTAGTATTTGACCTTGGCTGTAGTCTTATTTTATGCATAACATTATGTCATACAGTGTCAGTGTCAATTCAAGAATACTTAATTTAGTCATGCAGTTAGCACAATGCTAATGAGGGGCCACAAGCTTCCATTACTGGTTAGCTACATTAGCCTGCTCAAACACACCTTATTACACTCACCTGTTAATTGCCAGGTTTGATGTGTGTGTTTGAGTAGGGAAAACTATCAAACTGTGCTGGACACAGGCTATCCAGGACTGGAGTTGTGCACCCCTGCTTTAATTCTTAATACTGTGGACATTTCCAGTCTTTTTGTGTCCGTCATTGAGCTGCTTTAACGGTCACTCTCTTACAAAGGCGTGAAAGGAAGACCGAGCTCATAATTGGGCAAGCTCCTAGGTGCCTTCACTGTCATTAAATATCATCCATAAGCAGAGCTGGGTTCAGATGACTGTTTACAGAGAGCAGCTGTTGACTCACCTAATGGGTTTGTTCCCAGTGCCTTTAGAGCTGAAGCTGGCATTCTCAGTGGAGCAGCCAGTGAATTTGCCCCCTCCCTTGTTGTCCTGGAGCTGTGAGCACAGCTGTAGCCCTCTGTGGGTGATATATTCTTCCTGCCCTTTGAATTCAGCCACCTCCACATTCGTGCACAGACGATACTTTAACCCCATATAGAACAGAAAGAAACATTAGCCCTCTGCTCTTACTCCACTCCTGGTCAACAGGGATTGTGCAGAGTGCACTGTGTGTACATACTGATATAGATCTTATTATTGAGTCCAATAATCTTTCTTTTGGCCATTCCTCCTACGTCTCAAGGTTTGTGTATATTATAAACATGCCATGGATCCATTGTTCTAGCCACTAAAGGAATGAAAAGAGTTTTTTCATCCTGCATTTGTAGCTTACTATTAATTACTGCAGACAATAATTTCCTTGTTCTTAGAAAAGGACAGAAAACCCATTGACCAAAAGTACTAATAGAAGCCAGTAAAAAGGTGTTGCCTTAACCCTACATGCTTCAAAGGCAGTAATCACTGTTTTGGGAAACAGAACTATAGAAGACAAATTTTTAAATGGCTCACTAAATAATATTAAATCATATGTACATGTAATGTTATATTCACTTTTACTGTTAAATTGATGGTTTAATATTGGCATTAATAAGCAGTTAGGCATTTTCTGTACAGCTTAATTAAGATTATCGCTGATTTTTATATTATCAGAATAATGTGAACAATTTTGACTTGGTGAGTTTCTCTAGAACAGTATATTCTACATCTATCCACTCTGACTCACTTTGTTTACATATTAACATTCAAATAATTAATCAAAATGTAATACTTCATGGTTTCCCATAAGCATCTATAGTTGAACCTTTTTTATCTGGAGCTCTCTTATTTACTCACTCACATTCAGCATTTTGAAGTTTCTCCAGCATGTGGTGCTATCAGCACACAGTCGCTTTTGTGTGCATCACTTAAAGAGAACAGCCATGAACCCACACCAGCAGAACCTTATTAGTGCACATGTTTGGAGTAATTTCTTTCAAAACAAGTGAAATAGTTTCCAAAAAAAAGTAATGATTGAGTCAATATTAAAAAGCATATAAGCTGAAAGTAGATTGAAATTGCAAAGTATTGTGTGTGTGTGTGTGTGTGTGTGTATGTTGGTGTGATGGTGTAAGGGAGTGGAGTGTTGGGGTGATATAATCGACACTCTTGAATTTTTTAACAAGAAAATATCATGCTAATAAATTTTAGATATTGCTCAGGACTACCACAGATGCAGCAGGTAGAGATTAGGTTGGAAAACACTGGAGTATTTCTTTAATTCTTTAATTACACTTTAATTATAGAAAAGGTATGAAAGTGTCACTCTTGGGTGGGACCCTCAAGGGTACATCTCAGAACCTTTAGTCAGGGAACATAACTGTACCATAATCCACTGAAATGATATTTTCTAAGTTGTATTGACTCCACACACCCCGTCTCGTCTCCAGGCTTTTATTTTATTGTTCTGTTTTAAAACATTCGGTTATGAAAAGGTACAAATATGTACTTTTCCACTACGAAAAACTTGTAAAGTACCCAACTGGACCTTCAAACCTCTGTTGTACCTTTGAGGGAGCATTTACCTGAACAAAGTACCTCTATTTCTAACAGTGTATGTGTCTTGGATTTGGACTTATTATAATGTTGCACCTTCCCCTCCCTCTCTTTTTTGTTCTCTCTCTCCCTCCTTTCAGGATATGAGCACATTTCCAGTGGAGAAGAACATCTTCCCTGTCTCTAGCTCCTCCACAGGTTTTCCTGTGCCTTTTGATTTACCGCCACAGCACTACTCCAGTAAAGGTGAGAATGGGTTCTCTATACATGCAGCTTCATGCTCTAAGATTCTTCTGTAATCTGAACTGCTACAGACAGAGGTAGCACTCTGAAAGGGACATTATGCAGTGTTAGTCATAACTATCAATAACAATTATTATGGCATTCCATTTGGCAGTTTGATAGCTTCATTTACAGTGTTATATTAGAATTTACAGTGTTATATTAGTTTTTTTTTGGTCAAGATTTTTAAATTCACTATTGGAACTGGCATCCAGTATACTCTGTTCAGGAAACAAATGTTAATTACACAAGACTGAGGGAAAAGAACATGAAATGAAGTGCCGGAGACCCCGCTATCCTTTCAGATCCAGACACTGACCATTCAGATCCTGGCCTTTCATTCTGCATAAAGAATGAGTCATTGAGCTCTCATTTCTCCCACACTTCAAATACCTCCTTCTGTAATTTGTTCTGATCAGTTCATAATGAGGGAGTGGAGGACTCTAATTTATGTCAGTATGAGACAAGGCCCTGTCTAAAGACAAGGTAGAGTGTGTTTTAATTGGCTACAGCTGTGAAGTGCAGCTTCTGCTCAGCACATACTGACCCTGAGCAGAATCATTTCCTCTTCCGCTGTGATGTGGCTAAGGCCTACTAATTAGTGATTAGGATGCAGTCTAATTTCACTTGCACTCAGTTCTCCACTACATCATCTTTAGTGACACCCACTAGAGAGAACTAGATTAGGAGTGTTATTTTAGTAAACATAAACAATGTATATGTTTAAATATTTCACATTTTTACAATGTTTACATGTTGTTTTAGTGTGCATAAACAGTAGCATTTATTAGAGTTGAGTCATGAAAGTTTAAATAAAATGTTCTCATATTTAAAAGCCATGAGATGTCTGAACTTTATGCTCCACCAAAGGGTAGTGTAGAGCCTGCGTCTTACATTTTGGTTGGAATTTATTTGTTTTGACCATATAAACCATAAAAAGGCTACTGCAGCTGTCTGAGCCGGACAAGAAGCTCCGCAATACGCAGCAGTTAGTACAGCAGTTAGTCCTGGCAAACCACATAGGAAGTCCTGCAGAAAAGCCCAGATAAACTTCACGATTATGTTCATTTTACTTTCTGCTCATGTAGATTTAATGGAATAAAACTGAAAAACATTATCAGAAGTAAATTATCATTTATCACTTTTTCTTTAAGACTTCATATTTACTGCCACTGACGTCGCCTGCTACAGATTATGGTGCTCTGATTCAGTACAGTAATAATAAGATGCTGCAGGGTGTTTTGTGTCTTTGTACGCTGCGTTTTGTTAGCCTGAAGTAGTCTGCATCCTTAAAGGGGAATTCAATCAATTTTCCAAAATTTCTGTGTAGTTCAATCGTTAAAATGTAAACAAAGAGTTGTTTGATGTAAAATGCTCCATTCTGTCAGAATAGTTTACAGTGGAGGTGATGAGGGGAAAAAGACGTCTAAAGACTTTAAAGCTTGAATGGGCTCCCTCACAGAAAGCCATTATATGAAGTTGCTATGAGTACTTTGTCTGATGCCATACTCCGATCTAGAAATCCGATTAAGAAATCCGATAAAGAGAGCTGGGTTTTAGCTCAGTAATTGGATTTCTCAGTGCAGGTAAACTCTTATTCGGATTTCTTTCAGATTTCTCAGTCTGCGCATGTTTTGGGGCGACGATGAAACCAATTACATGCTTGACGAAATGAAGAATTTAAATATTCTTTATTTTCTAGATGATATATGTTCATATTTTAGGTAAAGTGGGTCGAGGTTTTTTTTTTGTTTTTTTTTTTTAAAGCCGTGGCATGAAGTTAGATTTTTCCATTCTGTTTACGTCACGTCTTCTTCTGTGAGTTTATTGGCTGGTTGCAAAGCAGAAACCCGATTACCATCTGACTCATGTAGACCTGGAGTTTCCCCATTATCTGATTACTTAGGTGCATATAAACATGTTGATCAGATTACAAAATCTGATTTTCTGCAGTTATCGGATTATTAAGTGCATGTAAACGCACTCAGTGTTTTAAAACGATAGTTTGGAGAAAAGATTTCGTTTTTTTTTTTTAGACCTCTGTGATGGAAACTGTCTCTGCTGGTGTCAAATTGTCGCTCACAGGGCATGCTGATGACAAGCAATTAACTCATTATCACCAGCAGAATAATCACAACTTCCAGTCGGTTAGATCATTATGCTGTTGCAGAACCGCAAAACATTTGCGAGCAAATAAAGGATAGTAATTTTGCCATCAACACAAATGGTTATTATCTTCACACATAATCTACGTATAAGTCGACAGTTTTTTTTTCCTGCGTTTTATTTTTCCTGTATGACAAAATTGCTTTTGAAACCCAGCTTCATGAATGCAGGCGGAATGATATGCCGTCACTCAGTTGGCCCTGGTATTTTGCTGTGCCTTTCTGATTAAGTTGAAATAACAGGGTCCAAAATGTACTCATTCACTGATATAACCTAAGAGCTAAAGCCAGCTCTTGGCTCTGTGAAGGCGACAGACGTTCATTGAGCTGAAAAGAAGAACGCTGGCTGGGTGATTCAGTGGCCTTTTTTTTTCTATTACCAGTCTCTCTTCATGTCGTCAGCAATCAGTTTGTCTTTCTGAAATTGATGACATAATTGTTCTCATCACATATCTTTGCGCTGCCTGCTAGACAGACTACCACTTGCGCGTGACGAATGTGTGGTATATCTGTGTAAGTGTCAGTCTCTGGTCATTTTGATTGCTTAGTCCTTCACTGCAGTAGAAAATCAGAAAATCAGTCACTGCCCACAGGTTTCTCAGTAAATGATTATAGTCTTTACCGCAGGTCTTTGCCCTGACGCACTGGCTGGCTGACCTCTGTTCGCACAGAGCATGGTGACTGCCTGTAATCGGTGGCGCCATTGAAACGGAGGGTCTCATCAGTTTATGAACTGAGGAAAAAGCCCTCTGTGGTTGCCATGGCAGTGCACATCTTTAATAACAGAGGCTAGCCTGGCCAAGGGCTGTTAGCCGTGTCATGGGATGAGTGGGTTGAGCTAGGGCTTGAAAAAAAGCAATCTGTGTCTCTCAGTCCAGGGAAGGGACACCATTAAAGAAGATCTACATGATTATTTTAGGGTTCCTGCAGATCCTTAAATGGTCATGGGTCTTAAAAATTGAAGGGAATAAAATGTCTGAAAATGGTTCATTTTTTTACCATTAGAGGCATTAAATTGTGTTGAGAAGGAGTCATTGAGTATATTAAATCAATTCAGAATAGTCTGCCAACCGAAATACATATATGTGTATATATATATGTACGTATGTATGTGTGTGTGTGTGTATGTATACAAACCTTGTTTCTCCATGTCGGAAGAAAACCTTGTATCTCCAAAATGGTAACTTTACAGGAGAAGGAAAAAGCATTCTCTACTTTTAATGGAAGTCAATGGAACCAGACTTTTTTTCATGTAATTTTGGGTCATCTCTACACACAATGTAAGGACAACAGGCATTTTCAAATTATGTCAAAAACTGAAGATACAAAAATGTAGATACAAGGTTTTGTTCCAACAACAGCGTCTAAACTAGCAGTCTGGCATAGTACATTGAGTGTTTAAGCCTCAAGTCTGAAAAAATGGAAATTCTGGTCTTCTTGGTGATAAAACCTCAAAACTCTAATTCATAGAAAATAATCGCATTTAAATTAAAGTTATTTATTGGTCAGAAAAATCGCAATTAGATATTTACCCCAAATGAAGCAGCCCTAATACTAGGGCTGTTGTCATCATGAAATTTTAGTTTAAGTAGCTGACGATTAATTGCCATAAATAATGATGATTAATCATTTATTTTATTTTATTTTTCATTGAATGTAACTATTAAAGTACAAAACCTAATGTGGCCAAATTGGCTGTCCTAGCCATCTTCCCAGCTATGTTTGATTATTAACACAGGTTGTACTGTCGAAATAATACACTGTACTGTGTACTCACACAAACGTCTACATAAACATGTAGAATCAAGCAAAGCTACACGAGAGAGACAATATAAGCTAAAACTCATTCTGCTGGCATACATGCTAAAAATGTTAGAACTAGCTATAACTTACCCTCCAAACATGGTAGAGGAACATTTTTTGTTTTCAGAAGCCCCATGATGTCTCAGTGAATGCATTTACTGCTTTCCTTTATTTTTATTCATTTGCCTCAACCCAACACAGACAGCTCACATTCTGCTTGTTACAGAAACAAATGTGGAAGATGACTGTAGTCCAAAATAACTGCAATTATCTCAAAGAATTGTGATCATCCTGGAGAATCATCTAGTCAATCATGTAATAATTGTGACAGGCCTACATAATGCATGCCATGTTTGAGTTTGTGTGCATAGCTGTGTGGTGGAAATGTTATTTTTGTTTGTTGATCTCTTGAAAAGTGGTAAAAATGTTGAGATTTTTTTGAAATCTGCAGCAACTCTGTACAGTGATTTTTTTTTGTTGTTTTTGTTCTTTTCTGCTTCTCTAATCAAATATAAAGCTGAATTGTGAACGATGTGGCTTTAGATATGAACTCTTAGAACGTCTGTGCCTGGTAGAAATTCACCTCGTAAATGTTTCGCTGGAGACTCTGAACGTTTGGCAAAATCTTTATTTTCTGGAGTCACGGCAAGGACAGAGTACTCAGCCACTGCTCTGCTGAAAGTTATTAGAATGGGGTTCTTTGGCCTTGCACTTGTTTGGAATAGCAGTTAGTCTCCTCTTTTTCACAGTACATGCTGGCTTCTGTAAGGAATGTTTGCTCTGCTATATTTTTCATTGAATACACAGCTGCCGTTTTGCCCTTGAGCAGAGCGTTTAACATCAGTCTGCTGTATGTTTCCTATAAACGTTTAGTAGCCATAGTGACATTAAGAGAGATTAATGACTTCTTTCTCTTAGGGTCACCAATTCTCCACTGCAGTAGCTTACTAAATCTAATTGCATGTTAATTAAAACTGGTCATATCCTCTTTCTGTC